CTGTGAGCACTCAGCAGAGAGCCCGGCACGGCCCTGGGCTCCCCCACCCCGGCCAAGCGAGGAGCCGTGCAGTCAGGCTCCGGCATTTTGCTGCGGCCAAGGGTGGCGGGTCTGTCCGAGTCGGTGCTGAGCGGACGCCCCTGCATCCGTGTCCACCCGGGCCCGTGACGGGGCCTCCCGCTGCCCCCATGTGGCATGGCTCAAGGCCGCATCCCGCCCGTGTGGGGACCAGTTGGATTCTGGTAAACAGTCGGAGAGACAGACCCCCGGGGAGCACAGTGCCGAGAGTCCTCCCTCCGGCACGCTGACCCCTGCCCGCCAGACACAGAGCCCGGACACGGGCTCCTGAGAGGGGTCCCCTGCAAGTGTCTCCGACAACAGGGCCACGAGGCAGGTCGGGCTGCAGGCGGGCGCGGCTTTGTTTGTTTGGCGTTGCCCGTTTGAGGTGCTCAGGGCTGACTCCTGCTGCGGTGCTCGAGGATCACTCCTGGCATGGCTCGGGGCACTCGGTGGGGGGCTGGAGACGGAACGGGGGGGGGGGTCAGCGTGTGCAAGACCAGCGCCCTGCCCGCTGGACTGTCGCCCTGGCCCGGTCGCTGCCGACCAGCCGCCCCAACGGTCCCTTTGCCTCACCCGGTGCTTCTCCCGGCCAGCGCTGCTCCGGGTGGCCCCCGACATGGCCCGGGCGGGAGACCGAGCTGGCCCTGGCCTGCTGACGGGCAGGACACCCCGTCTCCCTCCTCTCTCCCTCATTTCTCCCTGGGGCTGTGGCCTGAGGCTGGATGCCCAGAGGGCAGCGCTGGGCATCCCTACACGGCGCCTCGCAGCTGGGCAGAGCCCCCGGGCCTGACCGAGGCCCCGGCCACAACAGACGCTCGGAGCCAGGTGGGGCAGCAGGACCTGGCCCTGGGGGGGCCGGCACGAGGCCCCAGGAGCTGCCAGTGAGATCAGGCGCTGAGTAGCCCCCAAGCCCAGGCTGGGGGTCCCACATGCACACGGCATCTGTCTTACACTCCAGGGGCCGGGGCGGGGCCCCCAGAGGGTGTCCCCCTGCGACCAGGGCGGCTCTGCGGTCAGCGAGGGCGGGTCAGGAGAGGCGCTGAGTCGCCACCCAGTTTCCGGGACGCCCCCTCCCCTGCCCCCCCCCACACACACACACACAGGGTGGCAGGGAGAAGGGTCCCCGCTGGGCCTGTCCAGAGGAAGGACCGCGGTGTGGCTGCCTCCGGGCAGACCCAGGCCACCAGGGTGGCGCAGCAAACTTGTGACTGGAACAGACCCGTGTTGGGAGCCAGAGTGTCCCCCAGTCGAGAAGGGGAGCGAGCGAGGAGCCCAGAATCGGGGCAGACACTTCAGGGTGACGGGGCAGAACTGAGCTGGGCACCGGGAGCCACGGGGGAGCGGGGGCCCACGGAGCCATCCTGGAGGGCTTCCTGCAGGAGGTGGCGGCGGGGCTGGGCGTCTCCCAGGGGCATGCCTCACGTTCCTCCTGGGGCGGCCCGAGCCCTTGAAGCGTCTGAGAACCTTCCAATGGAGACCGGCCCCGTGGACGGAGCCGGGAGACAGCCGCGGACGGGACTTCACGCTCTGGCGGCAGGCCAGCCCCGGCCGGCCGCGGGTTTCCATGCCCGCAGACTCGGCGTCCAGCTGCTGCCCGGCCTCTGCTCGGGACGCTGACCTCAGGCCGAGGAAGGAAGTGAGCGTGCCCACCGCTGGCCGCTGCCTTCACGCTGCTCGGGCGGGGGGGGGGGGGGGGGCGTTCCTCTCCCCTCCCGCCCGCTGGCCTGAGTCATAGCCGTTCACTTGTTCCGTGCCCCGCCCTGACCGCCTCACCCGCCGGGACCCGGCCGGGGCTGCCCCTCGGGCTCCCAGCCGGGCAAAGAGCAGAGCCGCCCGGCCAGGGCACCCCCTCCCCTGCCGTGGGCAGCCCCCTGGGACCCCCCGAAAGGGCCCACCTGCCTTGACAGCAGCCAACCTGCGCCTCGATCTGCGTGAGAGTGTGTGCGTGTGCGTGCGTGTCTGAGGGGGTGTGTGCGTAGGTGTGCGTGTTCGAGGATGTGTGTGCTTGTGTGTGTGTGCGTGTGAGTGTGGATGTGTGTGCGTCAGTATGTGTACACTTGTGTGCATGTGCGTGTGCGTGTGTGAAGGTGTGTGTGGGTGCACGTGCATGAATGTGTGTGCATTGTGTGCTTGTGTGTGCATGTGCGTGTGTGTGCGTGTGTGAGTGTGTTTGCGTCAGTATGTGTACATGTGTGTGTGCGTGTGTGAAAGTGGGCATGGGTGCATGTGCATGCATGTGTGTGCATTGTGTGTGTGTGAGTGTGTGCACGTGGGTGTGCACGTGTGTGGGTGTGGTTGCGTGGGTGTGCATGTGTGTGTATGTGCGTGTGTGCCTGTGCGTGCCTGTGTGCGTGTGCATGTGTGTATTGTGTGCTCGTGTGTGTAGGGATTTGTGTGCGCACAAGGGTGTGTGTGCATGTGTGTGCGTGCCTGGGATTCGTGGAATTGGGCTCAGGCAGGGTGCCCAGACTTGGGGTGACCTGGCGGGCGTCCGCCTGTGCTCTAAGAAGGGGCTGATAAGATCATCCCCCCCCCCCCCGGGCTCCAGGTCCTCCTGGGGGTGACTGCCCCTCAGGGGACACTCAGCCATGCCTGGGGACAGCCAGGCCTGTTAGGACCTGCCCTGCCCCCCCCCCGCCCGAGTGACTGAGTGGCACCCCAGGATGAGCCCCAGTGGCCAGGCCCGCCCCGGGGGTCTCTCTCAGCTCCCGGAGACTCAGAGGCTGACACGGTCTCGAGCACGGCGGGGGTGGCCCTCGGTGGGGGAGCACGGCCCCCCCGCCACGCTCAAAGAAATGTCAGCAAAGACGTAAATGTCTCTGAGGGACACACCGTGACACGCAGGGCACCGCGGGGCCACCTCGGGCGGGCAGGGCAGCCCGGAACCTGCCGGGCTCCACGTGCCGGGCAGCTCCCCAGTGCCGTGTCCACAGGCAGAGCCGCCCCCGGGCGGACAGGCAGCCAGCCAGCGCCTGAGGGGGGTCCCAGGCCCCCAAGCAGAGTGGGGGTCTGTCCTCCTGAGTGTCCCCTCCCCGCTGCAGCGGACGGCTGGTCCCCACACTGCCCCGGGGACCCTGGCCAGTGCAAAGCCAGCGGTGCGGGGGGCCGGCAGGCGTCCGGCCGCGCCGAGGGAATGACCATAAGGCAGGGACTGAAGAAGGGGTGGACGGGCGGCTGGAGGTCACGGGCATCTCGGGGTCACGGCCAAGGGTCACTCCACACCTGGGGCCTGGGGGCCCGGAAGGCAGCACACGTGTTTCCACCTCCGGAAGGTGCCCTTGTCCGCACCAGGCCTGCGGAGGCCGTGTTGGGGGACACAGTCGGGCTGCTGCCAACGAGAGTTAGCGTGAAGGGACAAAACTGTGCGCACGTGTGCATGTGTATAGTGTGCATTTCTGTGTGTTTGTGAGTGTGCATTTGTGTGCATGCGTGCATGTGTGTGCAAATGTGTGTGAATGTGGGAGTGTGTGTTTGCGTGAGTGTGTGTGCATGAGTGTGTGTGTGAGCGTGCATTTGTGCACGTGTGTTCATACGTGAGTATATGTGTGAGTGTGCGAGTGCATGCGTGAGTTGTGTACGTATGTGTGTGAGAGTGTGCGAGAATGTGTGTAAGTATGTGAATACGCAAGTGTGTGAGTGTACCTGTGTGTGTGAGTGTATGAGTATGCGTGTGTGTGCCTGAGTGCATGTGTATGCGTGTTTGTGTGTGCACATGTGTGTGCATGTGTGTTGATGTGTGAGTGCATGTGTGTGAGTGTACCTGTGTGTGTGAGTGTATGAGTATGCGTGTGTGTGCCTGAGTGCATGTGTATGCGTGTTTGTGTGTGCACATGTGTGTGCATGTGTGTTGATGTGTGTAAGTGTGTGTGTGAGTGCATGTGTTTGAGTGTGTGTGTGTGTGAGTGCATGTGTGTGAGTGTGTGTGTGTGGTGTGTGTGCATGCCTGAGCCTGAGTGTGTGTGTGAGTGTGTGTGTGTGTGTGTGTGGTGTACGGTTCCTCTAGCCCAACCTGGCCCTTAGGGAACACGTCGGTCTCGGGCGGTCTCGGGCAAGAAGCAGGCAGCATGGGGGCGCCACCCAGCTCTGCCGGCCCACCCTGGGCCACCCAGAGCCACCGGCCAGGCCCGCCCAGAGGACAGTCCAGCCCGAGCCTCCGAGCCTCTCCGGGTCGCAGGGCCCATAGGGGCGCCAGGCAGGGCTGAGACAGGGCCGGGCGGGTCCCCGCGACCCCCATGTTCTTCCCACGAGCTTGGCGGTCCAGGGACAGGCTGGGTGAGGAGCACCCCCACCACGTCCCGCCCCAGTGAGGAGTTGTCCTCCTGCGCAGCTGCTTTCGAATCCCTCCCGCTAGCCGGGCCACCAGCCACTCACTCCCTGGCGCCAGCCGTGCTGGACTGCCCGTGAGACATTGTCGAGGAGGTGTCGTGATCAAGGTGCCGCGGGTTCTTTGGCCTGAGCGCTTGGGTGGGGCGCAATCCCGGACGACTTCCTGCAGTTGGTGGCATTTGGCACCCTGTGGGAAGCACCAACAGGATATAAGGAGGACGCAGGAACTTCCTTCCCACTGGGCAGGGTGGCCCGCGGCCCCTGGGAGGGAAACCGGAGCGGGCCTCCTGGAGAAGGGCGTCCTCCGGCGGCGGCAGGGGAGGGAGGTCCGGTCCCGGGTGCGCGTGGGGGGAGGCAGGAGGCCCCTCCCGCGCCGGCCCCCACCCCCGTCCCCGCCCGCCTGGCCTCGGAGGGAGGGCGGGCGCGCGGGCGGCAGGCCGGGAGGCTCCCGGCGGAGGTGAGCGCGGCGGCGGCGGCGCTGGCGGGCGGGGCGGGCGGCCGGGCTGGGCTCCGCGGGCCGCGCGGCGGGGCCGGGCGGCGGCGGCGGGAGGCGCCACGTCCCGCGGGGAGAGGCGGGCGCCGTGCGCGCGCCGACGCCGCTGTCCTCGCTGCAGCCGCGGCCGCTGTGGATGCGGAGCGCGCGCGGGCGGCCGCTCCCCGCGCACCGACGGCCGCGATGCGGGTCCACGACAGCTACTCGACGCTCCCGGCCGAGGACCGCAGCGTGCACATCATCAACATCTGCGCCCTGGAGGACGGCGGCCGCCGCGCGAGCGAGGGCACGGTGAGTGGCCGCGGGGCGGGCGCGGGGGGTGGGCGCGGGGCAGGGGCGCGCGGGGTGGGCGCGGGCCGGGCCCGGGCAGTGGGCGCGGGGCAGGGGCGCGCGGGGTGGGCGCGGGCCGGGCCCGGGCAGTGGGCGCGGGGCAGGGGCGCGCGGGGTGGGCGCGGGCCGGGCCCGGGCAGTGGGCGCGGGGCAGGGGCGCGCGGGGTGGGCGCGGGCCGGGCCCGGGCAGTGGGCGCGGGGCAGGGGCGCGCGGGGTGGGCGCGGGCCGGGCCCGGGCAGTGGGCGCGGGGCAGGGGCGCGCGGAGTCGCGGCTGGGCGCGGGGGGTGGGCGCGGGCCGGGCCCGGGCAGTGGGCGCGGGGCAGGGGCGCGCGGAGTCGGGTCAGGTCAGGGCGCGGGGAGTAGGGGCAGGGCGCGGGGAGTGGGCGCGGGGCCGGCAGGGGCGCGGGGAGTCGGGGCGGGCGCGGGGAGTGGGAGCGGGGCCGGGGAAGGGCGCGGGGAGTCGGGGCAAGGCGCGGGGCCGGGGCAGGGGCGCCGGAGCCGGGGCAGGGGCGCAGGGAGTGGGCGCGGGCTAGGGCAGGGGCGCAGGGAGTGGGCGCGGGCTAGGGCAGGGGCGCAGGGAGTGTGCGCGGTGCCGGGGCAGGGGCGCGGGGAGGCGGGGCCGGGCGCGGGGAGTGGGCGCGGGGCAGGGGCGCGGGGAGCCGGGGCAGAGACGCGGGGAGTGGGCGCGGGGGCCGGGCCAGGGGCGCGGGGAGTCCGGGCGGGCGCGGGGAGTTGCACGGGCTGGGCGCGGGGCAGGGGCGCAGGGGCGCGGAGAGTCGGGGCGCGGGACGCAGGGGGGGGGACTCGGGGCGCAGGGGGCGCGGGACATGGGGGGCCGGGACGCGGGGAGCGCGAGGCGCACGGTACCGGGGGCTCGGGGAACCGTGAGTGAGGGGCGAGGCGAGCGCAGGGTTGGGGGCGCGGGGGCGCGGGGCGCGGTGAGTGCAGGGTTGGGGGCGCGAGGGGAGCAGGGGTGCGGGAACGGCAGGCGGCGGCGCGGGGCTGCGGGGTGCCCAGGCAGCGCACCTGCGCGCCGGCTCCCGGGAGGGCGGTGGCTGCGGCCCGCGGGCCGGGCCGTTTGGGGGACGTGCGGGGCGCTGCCGAGGGCGCCCACCCGTGCACGTGGCCCAGGGGTGCGGCGCCCCAGCCCGCTCGGCGGGACCCCGGATCCCACAGAGCGCAAGGCGGGCCCTGGGGACGCTTCACCCCCCCTCCCCGCGGATGCCCCCCGGGGGATGTGACCAGCCGCTAGGCCCCCCGGACAGCTTTCTAGGGTGGGGAGCACCCGCTTCTTCCTGGCCTGCAGGAGGGGAGCGGGGCCCCCCAGCTCTGCGGGGTCAGTCCCTGAGCCACTTCTGGCTCCCACGGTGTCTGGCTGGGCTTGGTCTGGGGTACCAGAGGGGACTCAGCTCTGGGCCTGCTGCCTCGAGTGGGGGAGGCAGAAAGTCAGGAAGGACAAAGTCTTGGTCCCAGAGGAGAGCTGAGGTGGCCGGTGGCCAGCAGGGCGCGTCCCTCCGGGGCCTCCCCCTGTGCCCTCCCCACTGTGCCCTCCCCCACGCCCCCCTGCGTCTCTCTGTCTAGCCCAGGCTGGGGGGGGGGCGCAGCATCCTGGTCCTGGGGCGGGGGGCATCAGCCAGCGGCCCCCGCCCCTCCCTGATCACTGTGGGGCTCCTAGAGCCGCCAGCGCCTGACGGAAGGAGGCAGGGCGGGGGCTGGAGGGGCACAGCGGTCCTCGGACACTTACAGGCCCCCACGCCTGGAACGTTCCCGGCGCCCACATGAGCTTGAGGGGTCAAGTCCTGGAGCACCGCGGGCCCTTAGCGGGGGAGCTGCTACCACAGATGAGGAAACTGAGGCCAAGCAGGGCCTGTCCTTTGTCCCCTGTGCACTGGCAGAAGCTGGGACAGGCCTGGGGTGCCAGGAAGGATCTGCCAGCCCAGAGTCACCACAGGGTGGGACAAAGTGGGGACCCCAGTGAGGAGAAAGGTGATGGCGGTCGTGAGGGTTGGTGGGTGTCTGCCGGGTGACCTGCGATGACCATTCGGATGTGAGGTCAGAGCCGGGATCCCTGAGCCCACAGCCCCGGACTCTGCCATTGTCCTCTGAGGATCCCACTTTTCCTGGACCTCCAAACTGCCCTCAAGCCCCGGGTGCCCGCGCTGCCGCCCCGCCCTTCTCCAGTGTGGGGTCCCAGGCCCCCCACCCCTGTGCCGAGCCGCGGATCGGGCAGTCCAGAGGGAGTCAGGGCTGGAGGGGTGGGTGGGGGTGGTCTGTGTGTGCGCATTCTGGGGGCGGGGGCCAGCGCGTCCCAGGAACCCCCGGCGCTGCCCAAGCCAATAATTGCGGCTCTCGCCTGGGGTTGAGTCACCCGCCAGGCGGTTCTGTGCCTGCAGAGGCTGCAGGGCGTGGGGCTGCATTCCAGAAAGTTCCTATCGGTTCCCAGACACAGAACCCGACCCTGCCAGCAGGCCCAGCCTGGCAGGCGCTGCTGGGCCCCTCCCGCCTCTCCCGGGGCCCCTCTGAGCGCCGGCATCGCTGGCTGCACCTGGAGGCGGGCGCCCGGGGAAGGGCCGGCCAGGGGGTGGGCGCGTGCCCGGCTGCGAGATGCCGGCCGGCGGCTGGCTGTGGTCCGTCCAGGGCTGAGGGCCAACAAGCCCCGACACGGCCGGCCAGGAGATAAGAACCAGTGTGTCTGCAGCGATGCTTGGTGCTGGCTGAGGGCGTGGGCACGCGGCCAGGTCACAGATTGAGGGGCAGGGCTGGCAGCAGAGAAAAGAGGCCCCTGAAACAGGATCCCCGCCCGGGTCCGGGCCACGGCAGGCGCCGCCTGCTGCCCCTCCAGGCCCCGTGTGGTCGGACCCGAGAGCATCCCACGCCCCCCCGGGGGGTGAGCTCGGTCCAGCGCGGCACGAGGCCGCAGAACAAAACATGGTGGGGGGGTCTCACAGCGGCCCAGGGTACACACGGGGGCACGGGCCTGCCTCTCCCATCGTCACTCCACGGGCCGCCCCTTTGTCCTCGTGAGTGGGGGCTCAAGCAGGCGGGGTCTGGGCCGCCTTGGTCTGGTCTCTACCGGACAAGTGCTCGCGTGCATTCATTCATTCCCTAGGTGTGCGTTCATTCACTCATCCCCGCGGACTGGCGTTCATTCATTTCCTAGGCTGTGCATTCGCTCCCTGGGGCATGCATTCATTCATTCCCTGGCTTGTACACTCATTCATTCTCTCCCGGAGGCATGCATTCATTCACTCATTCACTCCTTGGGGGCCTGCATTCATTCATTCATTCATTCATTCATTCCAGGGTCTCCTAGGTGAGAAGTTCCCTGCCCCCAGCTCAGGCCCCTGCTAGGGTCTCTGCATCTCTCAGGGCACTGAAGCAGCACCCAGAAATCTGGCGGCCACCCCGGTGACCCACTGCAGAGGCCCGTCCCACACACAACCACGGCACGTGTGCCACGGGGGGGGGGGGGGCGCCTCCACCCCCTCTGAGCTCAGCTCAGAGTTGCTGGCCCGGGCTTGGCTGAGGGTAGTTACTGGGTGTCCACACTTTGTCTTTTTTTTTGCTTTTTGGGTCACACCCGGCGATGCACAGGGGTTCCTCCTGGCTCTGCACTCAGGAGTCACTCCTGGCGGTGCTCAGGGGACCAGATGGGATGCTGGGAATCGAACCCAGGTCGGCCGCGTGCAAGGCAGATGCCCTCCCCGCTGTGCTATCTCTCCGCACACTTTGTCTTAGAAGATGTCCACCCCTCACACTCCCTGTTTCCTGAAACCCAGACTCAAAGCAGGGGGCCCCCCTAGGTCCAGGCAGGGGAGCTGGGGGTCCGCACTAGGCCTGGGCGAGCCCCTGCCGTCCCGCCTCTGCTCAGTGCTGCCTCCTGCTGGTCCTGGCGGCACCCGCGGCACCCGCGTCGGGACGGGTGGGTTTTGGTTTTCCCCTGCCGCACCCACAGATTCCTCCAGCCCCCGCGGGAGCGGCTTCTGGCAAGGGCTCACCTCGCACTGGGTGCGGTGACACGGCTCGTCGTAACGCCCAGCCCCGCGGGGGCAGTGTGGGGTTTGATGGGCACCAGCTGATCCTCGAACCCTCATTCCCCGGGGGGGTCCGAGGATCGGCGAGATTATGCTCCGTGCCTGGTGGCACCTCTGGGAGCAGCGGGTGTGGTCAGCACGACGCCCCTCTGAGGGGCCTCCCCGGGTCGGACGGCTACAGGGAGTGGAGGGGGTCCCCAGCCTCCGCGGGGGCTGGGGCTGTGGCCTTGCCGGCTGTGTCGAGCCGGGCGGTGGGGCCCCCTGGGCTCCAGCCTCCCCGCACACACCACTCTCTCGCCAGCTAAGACTGGGCCCCACCCGAGCCCCTGGCCAGCCTCTCCCTCTGCTCCCCAGAAAGGCTTCCCGGGGCAGGGGCCGGTAGGGGTGCGGCTGGGAGCACCTTTCCTGTGTGTGGGAACCGGGAGGGAGAGGGCTCTTGGCCCCAGCCCGAGACCGGGAGTGAGTGTCTGTCCTGGCCCCCGCCTTCTGTGTGGGCAGAGCAGGGAGCGTGACCCCTAGTGTCCTTCCGCAGATGGGGAAACTGAGGCAGGGCTCCAGAGCCTGCCCAGCAACCTCCACCAGACCTTCCCACGGGTCTCCCCTAAATTATCCCACCAGGCTTGGGCTCTGCTTTGGGGAGGAGACTATTGGGGGTGGCTGACCCCGCGGGTGGTAGCGTCCACCCTCATGGTCAGCGTCCACTCCCACAGTCATTGACCAGCCCCTACAGTCAGCACCCACCCCCATGGTCAGTGTGCTGACCATGGGGTGGACACCAACCATGTGGGTGGACACTGACCATGGGGTGACCCCGTGGTCAATGTTCACTTTTGTGGTTAGTTTCCACCTGTGGTCAGTGTCCACCTCCCATCGTCACAGTTCACCCCCCTACGGTCATTGTCCACTCTCTTATGGTCAGTGTTCAGCCCCATGATCAGTGTCCACCCCCATGGTAAGCGTCCACCCCCATGGTGTCCACCCCCATGGTCAGCGTTCAACCCGTGGTCAATGTCCACTCTTTTGGTTAGTTTCCACTTGTGGTCAGTGTCCACCTCCAATCATCACAGTCCACCCCCTACAGTCATTGTCCACTCTCTTGGTCAGTGTTCAGCCCCATGATCGGTGACCACCCCATGGTAAGTGTCCACCCCCATGGTCGATGTCCACCCCATGGTCAGTGTCCACCCTACGGTCAGTGTCCACCCCCATGGTCGGTTTCCACCCCCATGGTCAGCATTCACCCTGTGGTCAATGTCCACTCTTGTGGTTAATTTCCACCTGTGGTCGTGTCTACCTCCCATTGTCACAGTCCACCCCCTATGGTCATTGTCCACTCCGTATGGTCAGTGTTCGGCCCCATGGTCAGTGTCCACCCCCATGGTCAGTGTCCGCCCCTGGTCACCTCTGCCCTGCAGGAACCCACAGCCCAGCATGCGGGCACCCGGGGCTGAACCCTCACGGTACCCCCCACCGCAGCCGGGGGCGTCTGGCCCGGGGATGCCCCCCGCCCCGCCCCCGCTCACGCCCCGGGTTCCCCGCCCTGCAGCTACTCAACTCCTTGTCCGTGGACCCCGACGCCGAGTGCAAGTATGGCCTGTACTTCCGGGACGGCCGGCGGAAGGTGGACTACATCCTGGTCTACCAGCACAAGCGGTCAGCCGCCAGCAGGACGCTGGGCCGGCGCGTGCAGCCCGGGGAACCGGCCGCCCGCAGCGTCAAGCCGGACCAGCCGCTGCCCGGCTCGGGGACGCCGCTGGGCGCTGAGCCCGCCGTGGACTACCACGAGGATGACAAGCGCTCTCGGCGGGAGGAGTACGAGAGCAACCTGCTGGAGGCGGGGCTGGAGCTGGAGCACGACGAGGAGGTGAGGCCCCCCGGGACCCCCCTCCCCCCCCAGCCACCCACACCCTCCTCCCCCCCCAGTCACCCGCACCCGGGGCAGGCTGGCCTCGTGGGACCGTGCAAGGAGGCAGTTCCCGTCCCCAGAGCGTCTCTGGAACTTTCCTGAGGCCTGACCCGGCCCTTCTCGTGCCTCAGTTTCTCCCTCTGCCCTGGGTGCTGTCACCCTGGAGCCCCGTGACCAGCACATGCCCCCCGGAAAGACCCTCCCAGGAGAAAGATTTCAGGGTGGTGCGGCGCCAGCAGCAGGACCCCGAGTTTCCACGCCTCCTGCACCCCCTCCCCCGCGTGGGGCTTTGGCTGGAGCCGGGGGTGGCCGCCGGGTCTCAGCCCACTCCAGGCTGCTCAGCATGGGGGTCCGAGAGATCACCAGTGAGTGGGGCAGGGCCCGGGCAAACTGGGGTGCCCCTCGGTCCCTCGTGCTCACCCACTAGCGGGGCCTTAGGCCCAGTGATGGGTGTTGGGGTCCCTGGGGCATGTGGTCACGATGCCCCCCACGGTTGGCCGAGCAAAGGCCCCCAGAGCCTCTGCACGCCTGCGGCGGGGAAGGTTGGGCCAGGCCAGGGTGCAGGCAAAGGGTCTCAGGAAACTTGTGCCCACCCCCTGCTGGGGGCTGCCCGGCTCTGAGGGCACTGTGGGCACAGGTGTGGGCCAGCTGGCAGCCCCACCTGTCCCTTTTCTGCGACCCCATCCCCCCACTCTTTGGTGGACAGTCCAGCCACGGGGCAACCCTGGGCAGTTGCCTCCTGCAGGCCACCCGGTGCAGCATGCAGGTTCCGTGGGAACTGGGGGTCTGCGGCTGTGACCTGGGGCGCAGGGCCCGGGATCCTCCCCAGGGGCTCCTCTGATGGCCGGGCCCGAGTGCCAGGGTCAGGCCGGGCATTTCCCAGTGTGGACCCAAGTCAGAGCCAGGCGACCCCTCACCCAGCAGAAACTCGATCCATGGGCGCCCACCTCCGGGCCCCCACGCTGCTCCCTGGCTGCGGCCTCAGTTTCCCCTGCTGGCAGTGGCGAGAGGTGGGTCCCTGCATCCCAGGGCGAGTGACACGCCTTCCTGGCCATGGCTGCGGGTCTCACTAGGCGCCGTCCTCTGAGGGCCCGTGACATCCGTGCTCAAGCGTGCTTGAACAAATCCTGTGATGGTGGTGTAGACGGCCTGTGTTTGAACTGCACACGTGATGGTGGTGTAGACAGGCCATGTTTGAACTGTGCCTGTGATTGTGATGTAGACGGGCCACGTTTGAATTGCACATGTGACTGCGGTGTAGACCAGGGCTGTGTTTGAACTACACACGTGACTGCGGTGTAGACAGGCCATGTTTGAACTGTGCATGTGATTGTATGTAGATGGACTGTGTTTGAATTGCACATGTGACTGCGGTATAGACCTGGACTATACCCGGGACTGTGGTGTAGACCTGAGCTACACACATGACTGCGGTGTAGACCAGCCTCTGGGCTCCGTCCTCGGCACAGGGTCCTCGGCACAGGGGGTGCCAGGAGTCCTGGGGCCTTCCAGGCCCAGCGGGGCTGAACAGGCGTGGAGTGTCCCAGGAGGAATGCTCTTGTGAAGCTCCTCTGTCCTTCTGTCTGTCCATCCGTCTGTCTTTCCGTCTGTTTGTCCATCTGTCTGTCTGTCCGTCCATGCGCCTGTCCATCTGTCTGTCTATCCGTCTGCCCATCTGTCTGTCTGTCCATCCATCTGTCCGTCTGTCCATCTGTCTGTCCGTCCACCTGTCTGTCATCTGTCTGTCTGTCCGTCCGTCTGTCTGTCTGCCCATCTGTCCGTCTGTTCTGTCCATCTGTCTGACCGTCCACCTGTCTGTCCATCTGTCCGTCTGTCTGTCTGTCTGTCTGCCTGCCTGTCTGTCCGTCTGTCTGCCTGTCTGTCCATCTGCCTATGTGTTCATCTGTCTATCTGTCCTTCCATCTGTCTGTCCGTCTGTCTGTCCGGCAGCCTGTCCGGCGCCCCCGGCTCACTGGGAGGGAGCTTTCAGCTGGGAAATAAGATGCACGAGGGAGCCGGTGGCCCAAGCTTGCCGAAAGCGGCGTGGGCACGTTTCTGGGTGGGCTGCCGTCAGCCCCCTGGCCTGGGGACCTCTGTTCCCTCTGTACTGCACGCGGCCTGGCGCGGCACCCGACGGTGCTGAGTGCCCCGCGGTTGCTGTGAGACGCCCCTTAGCCAGAGTGGCCCAGAGCCTGGCAATGTGGGTACGAGGGGTCTGACGGCCCCTGCTGACAGTGGCCCTGACGATCTGCCACCATGGCCGAGGGACCCCCAGCATGGGGCCCAGCAAGGGGCCACAGTCCTCGCAGGGCGGGGCCGGAGCTGCAGGTGAGGACGAGCTGAGGCCTGGCCCCGGGCAGGGCCCCCGGAGGGTCCGAGGGTGCAGCCTGGGCGGGACCCCCAGGGAGGGCGGGGGAGGGGCACCAGCACCCTCTCTGCTGCTCAGACCCCGCTGTCCCCGTGGGGCTGGGGTCAGGACAAGAGCACTTGGGCTCTGGGTCGGTATTTGGGGGTGGCCGCGGGGGACATGCACGGGCCAGTGTGGCTGACCAGAGGCACCGGGCCCTCCGACCAGGACATGGGGGGCCCAGGGAAGCCCCCAGACAGCGCCCCCAGCCCTGGATGTTCTGGAAGGGCCAGAAGGGACCCCCAGGTCCCTCCGTACCCCACGCGGGCAGGCAGGGAGCCAGGCTCTTGGCTGCATGCAGGCATTCGGGGTACCCAGAGGCATCCAGCCCCCAGAGCTGGTTCCGCCCAGAGGGTCTGAGAGGGACCCCCATCAGCGACGCCGACAGCACTGGGGGTTGGGGACAAGGCCAGGGTCCTGTCTCCCCCTTATCTACCGCTCCCGTCCCTCTTGCTCTCAGCCCCAAGAGGGGCATCTTGGGGCCTACTCGGGGCACTGAGGTCCCATGGGGCTGGACTAGACCCTGACACTGATGGCCTGCTGAGGTAAGGCCCCCCAGACCCCCGGCCTCTGCGCCCCGCAGCCCACTGGGGTCCACCGCCGGCCCTGCAGGTGCAGTTCTGGGCCTAGATGGAAGTAGGTGGACGGGACTGCGGGGACAGTGGATGGGCAGGAGGCAGAGGTTCTGGGGTGAGCCTGAATTCTGGGGGCCCCCTCAGGTCTCAGGGGTCCTACAATGGAGGGGTGGCAGGTCATCGAGCCTCTGCTTCTCGGGGCGCTGTTGGATCAGACAACCCCAGCCCGCCTGGCGGGGAGCAGGGCAGGCGGGGTCAGAGGACAGTCAGGGTCAGGCAGTTGGGTCAGCACAGTCGGGGTCAGCACTGTCGAGGCCAGGAGGCTGTGGGGATCAGGGGGGTGCGGGTGCCTTCCGAGTGCGCCGTGCCGAGTCCCCCGGCCTGTTGTCCACTCGCCTGCCTTGGGGAGGAGGACGTCTTGACCCCTGGCTGCTCTCCTGCGCGCAGCAGGCTGCCAGCCCCGGGAGCGCCCCTCGGGAGGACGGGCACCCTGGACATTGCGACACCGAGAGCCCGCGGGCGGGGCCAGGCCACGTCCTCCTCCCGACGCGGGGGGTTGGGGGGGCACCCTGCCAGGGCCTCCCGGCGGGACTGAGCCTCACAGACCTGTCTGCGGGCCTTGGTGCCGCTCCCGGCCCTGCGAGCTGGCTGGCCCCGTGCCCGCTGGCCAGGCCCTCCCCTGGCACTTCCTGCCGCACCGGCACCTGGGCCCCAGCTGCGTCTCCCTCAGCGAGGTGCAAAGGCCCACGGGCCGGGGCTCTGGTCTGCCCCCGCCCGCCATGGGGGCAGTGGGGAGCTCTGTTGTGGTCGAGACCTGGCCGTGGGCAGCTCAAACCCAGGCTGCTGGTCTTTCGGGGAGTCCCCTGGTCCCCTGCTGACTCCATGCATGTCCCTCTCTGGGGCCGGCTCCACGCAGCCTCCGGGGTCCAGGGCTGAACCCCACGTGGGGTCCCATGCAGCGGTCATGGTGGAGGGGGTCAGTCCTTCATCTTCCTTCCCAGCTGCTTTGGGGACGCTGCCGCTGGCTGGCCTCATGACATCTGATACTCCCCTCCCCCGGCTCGGGGCCTCGTGGACAAGGGGCCAGTCTGCCCCACCCGTGTCCGTAACCCCTGGGTGTTACCAGCCTGTGGCGCCGTTGACCAGAGCAGGTGTCTGAGTGACCCTGCCTCCAACACGAGTGGGTCCAGTATGCTTATGGCCACCGGCTTCACGCTCACCACAGCCCGGTGGTCTGGGGCAAAGGACAGGTGTGGGGGGCGCCCTCGGCCGCACGTAGCAGATGCCCGCACCCCCTCCCGTGGCACCGCAGTAAATGTCACCGAACTCCCCTCTGCCAGGCCCGTCCTGGGGGCACATCCGTCAGCCCGGGAGACGGAGCTGGCCCCGGCCACGGCACATCCGTGCCGCAAGCAGCTGCCAACAGGAAGAACAGACGGAGGCCGTGGCCGGCTCTGCACGGGCAGCCAGGGCTGAGCTCGGCGCTGCATCTGGTGCGGCCAGGGCCCGCGGCGTGGCCGAGGGTCTCACTGTCCCTGCTGCCTCTCCTGACCGCCGGCCAGGGCAGGGGAGGACCCCGCCCCCGGCTTGGGGACTGTGGGTGACCCAGCAGTGCTCAGAGCCGGCCCAAGAGAGGGTGCTCCTGGGAGCACTCCGGGACGCAGGAGCAGGCGGAAGCCCCGTGCATCCCAGTGTGACCTCCGAGCCCGCCTGGCCTGGCCCAGGGAGCACGCGGCCCCCAGGCCCTTCCCCTCCACAACCCCCCACCCACGGGACTCTCTTTGTGTTTGATCTTTTTCTTCCTTCCGAAGGAAAATGCTGGAGAAGGTCGGCCTCGAGCGGCTCCAGCCTTTCCCCGGGCACTGCTCAATCTGGCCCGCACACCCTCTGGTCTGGTGACCTTCGGGGGCGCTGACCGCGTCCTCCCCCAGCCGGGTCCCCACGCCTCCGCGGGTCCCCGGACAGAAACCGCTGTGGGTGGGGGCGCCCCTTCCCGCCACCCCCCGCTGTCCCACGGGACCTTTCTCCGGGGCCGGACAGAAAACATCCGCCGGCCCGTGACCCTTCCCTCCGCCCCTTGACATTCCCCGGGCGGAGTGCGCTGTCAACCGAGGTGCGCTCTCGGGGGGCTCCGCAGCTCTCCAGGAGGGACCCCTGGGTCCCAGAGCCCGTGCGGGGCCCTCGCACACGGAGGAGTAACCCTGGGCTTGCAGCCGGCGGGGGAAGGGGCAGTTCTCTGCCCACCGGTGGTCTCTGCCCGTGCCCAAGACTGTGGGCTGCACCCCTCGGCTCTCCTGACCCTCCAGACTCCCGGGGCCGGCACGGAAGCGGGTGGGCTCGGCTGCCCTGCGGCCAGGGAGAGATAGTGGGCAGCAGTGGGGGGTGGGGCGCTGGGCTGTGGGGTCCCCTCTCTGTGAGGCCAGTGTCACGCGGGAATGGCTTGGTGGGGTCTCACCAAGGATCCGCCCAGCCGGGCCCAGGCTCACAGCCGGCCGGGCCCACGTTCACCCGCACGGATGCAGCCTGGGCCCCTCCCCTACTGCCGCATCCAGCTCTCAGCATTGCCTCAACTACCCCGCCTGGTCCTTCTCCCCGGATTCGGTGCCAGGAAGGCACAATGCAGAGCCCAGGTGTGGGGCAAGGCCGGGCGTCGGCGCCCGTGGCCGCCCTCTGACCCGGACGGAGTCAGCAGAGCTGAAGCGCTTTCTTGAGATCAAGCCTGGGCCTCCAGCGCCCGCCCTTGGACCCACAGTGTGCCCGGGCTGTGCCCGTACTCGGCAGGAGGCGGGCGTGCAGGGGACAGGGGGCAGGAGATGGGGGCTTTGACGGCCCGAGTCTGGAGCCCCTGACCCTCCCGGAGCCCTCTGAGTGCCTGTTTCGCTTTGGAGGGGTGGAGAGAGAGAGACGCCCTCATCCCCGGGAACCCCCCTCACCCCGAGACCCCTCCCTTCTCTCTCTCCTAGACCAAGCTGCCGGGGGTCGGGTTCGTGAAGATCCACGCGCCCTGGGCCGTGCTGTGCAGGGAGGCCGAGTTCCTGAAGCTCAAGATGCCCACCAAGAAGGTGGGTGCCAGCGCGCGGGGCCCCGGGGGGCTGCACGCACCGCCCTGCGGTGGTCCCAAGTCCAGGGTTAGCAGGGAAAAGGCTGCCTGAGTCCAGGCGTGCATGTCCTAGTCCTGCGGCCACCCCCACCCCCGTGCCTCCCGGTCAGCGTCCCCCTACCCCCATGACCTGCAGCTGCTGGGGTCCAGAGAGGGGACGGTGACACCGTGCTGGGTTTCAGCCCGCCCCAGCCTCTCACGCCCACCAGAGTCAGGCGGGTGGGGGGGGGGGCGGGGGTGCTTCCTGGAATGTTCCGGAAGCACAAGGCCCAGAGCCTTCGGGGTGTGCCCGGGGAGAGCAAGAAGCAGATGCCCCCCCCCCCCCAGGTCTACCGCCTGCATGAGGCCCGCGGGATCCTGAGGAAGATCAACTCCGTGTTGCGCAAGCTCACGGACCCAATCCAGCCGCGCGTGGCCGAGCACCGGCCGCAGACCATGAAGCGCCTCTCGTACCCCTTCTCCCGCGAGAAGCAGCACCTGTGAGTGGGGGGCTGCCCCAGGACCCCCAAAGAGCGCGCGCTCCTGGGACCCCGGCTCTGGTGCCCGGAGACCCCGGGACCGGTGACCCAGGGTGGGGTCAGTCTCGTTCTGCAGGGCGACCCTCAGGGACCCTTATTGGGCCCTGGGGTGGGGGAGCTCAGAGGAGCCCCTGCCCGGCCCCTCCTCCCGGCCCCCCTGCGTCCCCGCCGTGGGAACCCGCTGTTGCCTGGCACGGCCGCACCTGCTCCGGCCGCATCCTCCCCCATCCCCAGGGCCAGCGGGGCGTAGCCACCTGCCCGAGAGGACGCAGGGGTTCCGGGAGCCCCAGGGGGCCGTGGGACTGGTCCAAAGCACCTGCAGGGTGGGGTGAGGGGGACCCGGAACACGCGGGCCTCACAGGGCCGGAGGAAGAGCTGCAAGGCGCCACCAGGTCTGGGCTTCTGCCCGGCCGTGGCCCCACCCCACCCCGCGCACACCCACACTCGCACATGCACACGTGCACACAGATACACGTGCACACACACACAAACACACACAGACATGCACACACACGCATGCATGCACGTGCACACACGCACACACACATGCACAGACGTACATGCACACGCACACACACACCTGCGCACACACACCAGACCTGGGTGTTAGGGGAAACGCACCTCTGGGAGTCGGGAGCCTGTCTCATCCGTCCCTCCTCAGACACCCCCTCAGCCGCCGCCCCGGCTTCACTGGGTCGTGTAGAAAGTGGGTCACGCTCCCCACAGGATGCCCCGGAGACCCCCGGGCAGCGCCCACTCCAGCCTGAGCACCTGTGGGTCCCGGGGCTGGGAGGCTGTCCTCTGCAGCGCCTGTGCGGGGCTGGGGAGGTCTCTCAGCAGGACGCAGGGGGAAGGGGGACTCTTAGCTGGCCCCCACTGCAGACCCCCACTCCAGCCAGCCCATCCCCCTGCACCCCGTGTCTCAGCCCCCTGCAAGGGACAGCGTGATCCAGGCCCCCCACCCCCCGCCCCGCCGCCGGAAGCCCTGGCAGGGGGCTCAGGCCAATGGGGTCTCTGCTCCCCGCCCCCATTCCTACAGATTCGACCTGTCTGACAAAGATTCCTTTTTCGACAGCAAGACCCGGAGCACGATTGTGAGTAGCGGGGCCTGGAGCCCCGGAAATAAGTGATGGGTTCGTTATGGAGACTTGGGGGCTGGGGGAACAGCCGCACTAATTGTCGGTGGCAGAAATAAGGAGAGGAAAACCAGGTGGGCTGGGGGCTCCCCGGGGGCGGGGGCGGGGCTGAAGGGGAGGGGCGGGGCGAATGGGAAGGGGCGGGGCCGAGTGGAGAAGCAAATTGGAAGGGGCGTGGCCGAGTGGAGCGGGGCGGGGCGATTGCGAGGGGCGGGGCGAGTGGGGAAGGAGAGGCGCCAGTGAGGAGGGGCAAATGGAAGGGGCGGGGCCGAAAGGGGAGGAGCGAATTGGAGGGGGCGTGGTCAAGTGGGAACAGGCAGGCGGGGCGATTGCGAGGGGCGGGGCCGAGTGGGGAGGAGAGGTGCCAGTGAGGAGGGGCAAATGGAAGGGGCGGGGCTGAAAGGGGAGGAGCGAATTGGAGGGGGCGTGGTCAAGTGGGAACAGGCAGGCGGGGCGAATGCGAGGGGCGGGGCCGAGTGGGGAGGAGAGGCGCCAGTGAGGAGGGGCAAATGGAAGGGGCGGGGCCGAAAGGGGAGGGGCGAATTGGAGGGGGCGTGGTCAAGTGGGAACAGGCAGGCGGGGCGAATGCGAGGGGCGGGGCCGAGTGGGGAGGGGCGGGGCTAAGTGGGAGACGGGGCGGGACGGCCCAGAGCCGCAGAACGTCATTGGCTGAACCCCAGCTCTCTCGACTGCTTGGTCCTTCCCGGTCCCCCCACCAGATTCCGGGGTCCCAGACCAGAGCCGGAGCCAGGGACAGGCAGGAGGGCTCAGGGATGAGACAGACACACAGACCGGGGTTCGTTTCTGGCCTTCCCCAGGAGCCAGGCCGCCCGGGTGCATGGGGCAGGCAGTGCCCTCCCGCGCCGGCTCTGTTTCTCTGCTGGCTGCCAACTTGTCAGCCCGCCAGGCTGGGCCCTGCCCAGCTCAGCACCCGACTTCTTCTCTCGAGACACGAAAGCAGCTCGTGGCCAGCTGCTGCCTGTCCCCCGCCCTGAGGGCCCAGCCTGGAGGGAATCACGGTCACCTGCCACCAGGCCCTCTCCGGCGCAATGTGGGGACCGTGGAACCTGCCAGCAGGCCGGGCTCCCCGGGACCACCGGGCGCCCCCTCCAGGGAACCCCGGGCGTGCCATGTGACACTGGGCGGACTCAGCCACCAAATGTCCCAGTCAAAACCCCGAGCTGCCCACGGCCACACTCTGGTGCCAAGGGCTCGGCCTCTCCTGGGCAGTGACCAGAGACAGCCAGTCGGACCTGTGTGCCAATCCCAGAGCCTTGTGAAAGCAGAGACGGGCATGGGCAGCCAGGGAAACCGAGGCATACACTTGTTGCACACGTGCCCCAACGTTATAAGATAGCCAGGGCTGCCAAGAGGTGCACCCCTAGAAGCACAGGGGGGTCCACCCTGTGGGACGTGGCTGGGGGGTGGGGCCAGAAGTCACTCGGCCAGGAGCCGTGGGGGTGGAGCTGTTGGGGTCCCGAGCTGCAGAAGGTTCCCTGCACTGCCTGTGACTCCACCTACCTCTGGGAAAGGGTGTCGCCCCAAGGGCCCCCTATAGCTGTTTTCCAAACAGCCACTCCCAGAGTAAGCCTTGGGGAGTACAAATTCTGGAGATCTGACAGAATCCAGTTTTGGGGGGTGGAATTTCAGGCCATGGTGGGGCCTCACCACCCCCTGCATCCACCCTGGGTGCTGTGTCCGGTCCACGGACTAGCCCCGGGTCTAGCCAGGGCTGTCCCCGGGGTCCATGGTGAAGGGGGTCAAGAGTCCAAGGGGTGGGCTATCCCAGGAGAATCCACCAGGACAAGATTCTGGGGTGACTCAGAATGGACCCCCTTCCTCCTGCCCACCCCGCCCTGCCCCAGGGTTTCTAGAACCTTCCTAGCTCCAGCCCAGGAGAGAGCGGCTGGCTGGGCCCTGTCACCTCTCAGAGGGGGCGGTGCCCAGGTGCAGGGTCCCTGGGCTGACTGCCGCTAGTGAGAGACGTATCCGAATTCTGGTCTTGGCAGTGGCAGAGTCCGGGGTCCCGGCACGGATGGGGCCGGGGGTGTTGGGGTGACCCCCGCGGGTCACTCCTGCCCTGTCTCTGCAGGTCTATGAGATCCTGAAAAGGACCACGTGCACCAAGGCCAAGTACAGCATGGGTGAGCACAGGGCCGGGGGCGGGGGAGGGGGCGGTGGGCTGAGAACTCTCCTCAGTGGTGTCAGTAGCAGCCTCAAGGGGACCAACCGGGACGCTCAGCCAGGCCCGCCCCAAGGCTGGCAGGAAGGGGCCCTTGACGCCCCGGTAGCTAGCTCGGAGCACAGACGCCCATTTCGGTTCCGAGCAAGGCAGCTCCGTCACCTACGGCAGGGAGCGGCTGGAGGGGGGAGGGGAGGGTGTTCTGGGTACAGGGACCGGCCACAGGGAGCAAGGGGAGAGGTCACTTGCAGGGTTCCCCTGGACTCAGCACAGCAGGGCCATGGGGTGGGGAGGCCAGCCCCTGTCACGGCCCCACGGGACGGTGACATCTCGGGGGCGATCGGGGAGAGGGGGGAGACTTCGCTGCACCTTCATCTCCCGCCAAAAGGAACCTCCAGGGACCTGGTCAGACGGGCAGGTGTGTGTCCCCACGGGGCAGGAGTGTCCCCCACAGGCCAGGTGTGTCCCCACGCAGCTGTCTGTGATTTGGGGGTTGGAGGCTGCTTGGCTGAGGCTTGTTCCAATCTGGGCCATCCCAGCTGGGCGGCCCCTGTGCGTCCCCCGGGTCTCTGGTTGCACTGGTGTCCGGGCCCTTGTTGCCAGGGGATGGACGGAAGGACCTTCTCTGCGCCCCCTTTCCGTGTGGGCAGCTGGTCTCAAGCCCCTCCTGGCCTCGCTCCCGAGTGTGTGGGCACCGCAGGCGTAGGAGCGGGGATCCGCCGGTCGCCTGCTGATGAGGCTCCTGGGACTGTGGGAGTGGATAGTGCAAAGGCCCTGTGGCCACCCACCCTGGAATGTTCTGGAACAGAAAGAGCCAGGAGCCCCGACTCAGACCCCACACTCATTTGAGCACGAGGTTTTCGCTCCCCTGCATGCCCTTGACCGTGGCCCCCGTGGCCCCACGCCTCTGTTCAAAGCCTTTCTGGTGGAGGGACACCCAGTCCCTGGAAATGAGACCCCCCCCCCGGCTGCAGGGAATGCCTCGGGTCAGCCAGGGGGTTCAAGACCAGCCAGGAACTTTCCAGAAGTGCCCCTGTGCAGAGTTAGGTGCAGTCTCGGCCCCGGCCCCCGTGGCGTGGCTGTGGCCGGAACGTTCCAGGCCCCTCCCAGGGGAGCAGCAGAGCCGCTGCTGCAGGGTCCGGCCTCGTGACCCTTCAGCCCCCGCAAACGCAGCTTGTCTGTTTGGGGGCCAAGTCCTGCGTCCTCGGGGGGCTGCTCCCGGCTCTGTGCTCGGGGCCGCGACGCTCCTGCCCCTGCGGCTCTGCCCGTCACTGACCGCCGTGTACAAACAGGGAAAGGAGAGGGGAGGAAGAAGGACTCTGCCCTTGTAACTAAGAGACGGAAGTGTGGGAAATACGGTGAGTGGGGGAGTGCGAGGCGCCCACCCCCCCGCTGCGCCCCCCGGCCTGGTGATTGGCTTCTCCGACGTTCCCGCCCCCCCTTTTCTCATCTGCAGGCTTGCCTCAAGCAGGCGGGGGGCGCTGGTGCCGGCAGGTCTGGGTGCTGGGGTCTCCTCTCACTCCTGATTCTACCAATCAAGCACGCGTGGTCCCGCTGCGCGTAGAACCCAGGGCGGAAACCGCAGAGGTGGCCTGGCGGTGCGGCCGGGCGCGGCCGAGTGGGTCCCGCGGCCCCCCGGCACGGCAGCCCGGTGACCCCCGTCCCCCTCTCCCTAGGTATCACCAGCCTGCTGGCCAACGGCGTGTACTCGGCCGCCTACCCGCTGCACGACGTAAGTGACCCCGACGGCCTGTCTGTGTCCGCTGCGTCACCGGGTCCCGGGGGGCCACACCCCCGGCTCTCGTTATCCTGTGGCTTCCTGCTCCTCCGTCCCGTAAATGTCAGCCCGGCCCCGGCCTTCCTGGTTCCCCCAGAGGGCCGGGGAGGCACGAACCCCAGAACAGCCCCACGCACACAGCGGCCCGGGGGTCACTGCCCCAGCGGAACACCCCGGTGGCCCAACTCGGTGTCGAATCGGCCCAGACCCGGCAGGCAGGACCAGGCCCCGGGGGCCCGCTTCTCCCTGAGCGGCTCCCAATTCCCTCTGGTCCCCCTGACAAATATAGCGGGGCCGTGCGGAGAGGGATGTCGCGGGATCGTCTCCGTGGAGACGGGGCCGGAGTTCAGCGGGGGCACTGGGGATGGGCTGTGGGGCCCGAGCAGTGTGGGAACCCTGCGGGGAGCGGCCTGGAACGTTCCAGAAGCACATTGTTTGCAAAGCCCAGAGGCCGCCGCAGGGCCAGGCGGGCGGGGGCGGGGAGTGGCCCCAAGTCTCGTGTCACAGCCATGAGACTCCCCTGGCCTGGCCGGGAAGCAGAGACAGCCCCCCCACCCCCGCCGCCCCCGGCTCCCTCTGTGTGGCATTCTGGAACGCATCTTAGTGGCCTGTCCAGTGCTGTGTGGCGCCCACAGGGGGGATGCCCACCAGGCCCCCAACCCTGCAGGAAGCTCAGCTCCCCTGCTCCCCACAGCCCACCCCTGGTGGGGGTGCAGGGACCCCTCACCCGGCTCTCCCTGCACCCTGCAGCCCCCAGCACCCCTCCCCCTCAGACTCCAGCCCGTGAAAGTCTGAGGCAGGGCTGCGGGCCGGTCCCCCCCCACCTCCCGTCTCGCCAGGGTCCGGGTTCCACTGGGGCCTGTGCTGTCCACCCAGGGCCCTGTCCCCAGATCTGCCTCCTGCTCCTGCGGCCTTCCAGCTGGCCACCCCGCCAAGTGGCTGGGACACGCCTCGGGCCTCCGTCGGACTGAAAGGCAAAGGGAGGCTGGGCGTGTCTGGGCGCTTGTTGTGGGCGCAGGACTGGGTTCCTCAGGCACAGAGACCAGAGAGGTTCAGCAGCTTGTCTGACGTCACCCAGCCCCGGGGCGGGAGCCGAGCCAGCAGCCAGTCCTAGTGTCCGCTGCCTCTCTCCTCCCTGTCCCCGGACTGCCACCACCGAGTCCCTCCCGGGGGTCAGACTGCCCCGTTCCCAGACCTCACTCTGCTGTCTCTGTCTTAGGAAGCCACTGTGCAGTTTCGCCACTTTTCTGTTTCTTTGCTGTTTGGGGCCACACCTGGTGATGCTCAGACTCTGCTCCAGGCTCAGTGCTCAGGGTCGGTCCTGGTGCTGCCCTGGGGACCAGGCGAGGCTGAGACTGGCACCCGGCCTCCTGGGGGCCAAGCCCTCTGGCTGCAGGGTAAACAGCCCCGTATGCGGCTTGGGGCCCCCGGCACACCCCTCGTGCCTCTCACATTGACACTAGGGACTGAATCCGCTTCACAGCTGGGGAAACTGAGGCTGCCATTGCTCACAGCTGCCTGGCGCCATCTCCGTCTGCTTTCGGGCCGCGCTGAGCACTGGGGTGTCTTGCTGGGGCCATGCCAGGGTCGCCCCTCAGTGCGTGCTGTGCCGCCGAAGGCCACTGGTCGGCCAGTCTCTGGGCCGCCGTGGATGCAGAAAACGGCTGTTGGTTTGGGCCAGGGGGTACCGCGGCTGCTGGAACCTGTGGAATCTGGGGCCCGGGGCTCGGCCTCCCTGTGGGACCCGGGGCCTGCTGCAGAAATCCGCCCTGGTTCATTCGGGCACACATTCATTCATTCACTCATTCATTCCCTCACTCAGTCGCCTACTCACTCATTCACGCATTCTTTCACTGACTCATTCGTTCACCCACTCAACCCCTCATTCATTCACTCAGTCATGGGCTCATTCACTAAGTCACACCCACTCATTTACCCAGCCACCCATGCACCCAGTCAGTCATTCATTCATGCCGAATCCTTCATTTATTACTCATTCATTCATTCATTCACTCACTTTCATCTGCTCACTCATTCACTTGTTCACTCATTCGTCCACTCCCTGCCCATCCCTCCCTCCCTCCCCCACCCTCCTTCGCCGCCCGCATCCCCTCGCTCCTCACCCCTGCCCTGTTCCTCGTGGCCTGTGCGTGCTCGCCTGAGGGAGGAAGGAGTCCCACACTGACCTGCGCTTTGTGGCTTCCTTGTTGAGTGACATCGGCGCCCTGGAGGTCACCAGCTAAGTGGCCTCTGGACCAGGGCTGGGGCAGGCAGGGGGAGGCCTGTCCGCCTGCCCCGGGCTTGACCCACCCAAGGGCCAGCAGGAAGTCGCCACGCACAGCCCAGGCCAGAGGCCTGGAGCCCGGAGCAGTGCCGGACACACAGCAGGTCACCACTGGCCTCCTGTCACCCGTACCCTGGGCTTATGTCTCCTGAAGGGGGGCACTTCCCTGTCCCCCAAGCACCCCCTGACCCCGCGGCCCAGTGCTCCACCTCGCTGCCACAGGATGCCCACACCAGGCCCCACCTGGGCCCCCACGGGCGCGATTCTAGCAGCCCCCAAAACCCCTTCTTGGTGTGTCTCCAACTCTGAGTTTCTGCTGGGCACCCCTGGCCCTCGCGTCCGTGTCATGGCGCCCAGTTCCTCAGGGTCACTTCCTGTGTCCACGGGGGGCTGGGGCCTGTGTCTGCATCGGGGACCCTGAAAATTTCCCTTTCCCCCTACAGGGGGATTACGAAGGCGAGAACATGGACTTCAACGACAGGAAGGTGAGCTGTCCCCAGGGGCAGAGGGCGTCAGGGCCGGGAGGTGGGCACAGGGGTCAGCGGAGAGGGACAGAGGAGAAAGGAAGCGCTCGGCCCCTCCCTTAGCTCGGCCAAGTCCAGACCCATGTCAGCCAGACTGGACCCGCCACGGCTGACTTTCGGCTGTTTTCCTTCGTCCCGCACTGAAAGCACAGAGACCTGTGCACAGGGAATAGGGGACACTTGGCGTCGTCCCATTGGCCTCGCTCAAACTTTTTGGACCTGGAACCCTTTGTAATGAGAAGGTTCTTGGACGGGTGTTCCGGGGAACAGACTCTGGGAACACCGAGGGCCGCTGCTTTGCTCGGCTGGCCCCCCACCACTGCCCTTCTGTCCCTCCTACTCAAGAAGGTTCTTTCCTGCCTTCCCCTGGGGTTCCCAGACAAGTCCCGCTGCCTCCCCCCTAGGGAGCCCCCTTCCGGGCAGGCTGACAATGGCTCCTTGTCCCGGCCGCGCTGCGGAATGTTCTCCATTCCCGCCTTGCAGCCCTTCGTTCCGGATACGACTTGCCCGCCCAGGAATCCGGCCGGAGATGGTATCTGGTTGAGCAGAAAATGACATATTTGGTTATTGGTCGCGGAACATCTGGTGTCCGTGTCTGCCAGAGACCAGGCCCGGCCAGCCCCGCCCACGCCGGTCCACCCCCCCACACACACGCTTCCTCCATCCAACAGTGCCCCTCTGCGCCCCGGGACCCGCTCCTGGGGGAACCCCACCCCCAGCGCCCAGCCCCCACCAAGACCCATCCCAGCTCCAACTCCGGACCCTCCCATCCCATCCCAGGGTCACTCAGCTGATGCCCGGGTCAGCGGCCACTCTCCTGGGGTCCCCACATCACCTCAGAGTGCCAGGCCCAGTGCAGGAATCCCGTTATTGCCACCGCCTCCCCCCACTGATGGTTTCCCGCCAGCTGAAAGCGCAGGCCCAGCCGTGGAGTATTAGATGGACCGGAGGACGGATGGGGGGAAGGAAGGAACGCAGAAAGGAAGGGAGAGGAGGAGAGAGGGAGCGGGGAGGGCGAGAGAAATTCTCACTCTCCGTCCCAGGGCAGGGCAGCTGGTCCTGAGTGTTGAGTGACTGAATGAATGAATGAATGAGTGTTGAATGAATGAATAAGTGAGTGGACAAATGTTAAATGAACGAGTGAACAAAGGAATGAGCGACCGAATGTCTGAATCAGTGAGTGAATAAGCAGATATGCAAATGAGTGAATAAATGAGTGAAAGCGCAGAATGACTGAAGGAGTGAAAGAGCCAACGAATGAGTGAATCAGACCAAGTGAGAAGTGGGTGAATGAGCGGATGAGCGTGTGCCCAGAGCAGCCCAGCAGGGTCTCCCCGGCTGCTGTCGCCCCCCTCCACAGCTCCTGTACGAGGAGTGGGCGAGCTACGGGGTCTTCTACAAGTACCAGCCCATCGACCTGGTCAGGTAGGCGGGCCGGGGCCCCCGCAACCCGCGACCCCCGCTGGCGGTGACCTCACCGGGGACCCCGCCCCGCGGGGCGATGACCGACGACCACAGCTGCCCGCACGCGGTCCCCACCTGCCCCGAGCCCGGGCGCCCCTGGGTGGGGTGGGGTGGGGTGGGGTGCCAGCGCCCGGCGTGACGCGCCTGCCCGCGCCCAGGAAGTACTTCGGGGAGAAGATCGGCCTGTACTTCGCCTGGCTGGGGGTCTACACGCAGATGCTCATCCCCGCCTCGGTGGTGGGCGTCATCGTCTTCCTGTACGGCTGCGCCACGGTGGACGACAACATCCCCAGGTAGGCGGGGGCGCTGCGGGGTCCTGGCCGGCCCGTGCCGAGAGCAGACCGGCCCTGCGGCCCGCGCTCCTGCGGAGGGTCCAGGGGCCGGCCGGCCGGACACTCCGCCTCGGGCCGCCTGCGAGGGTCCCGCGACCCCGCCCCGCCCCCTCCAGCCAGGAGCCCCGCCCCTCCCCACAAAGCAGCACCACGGGGGCCTGGGGGCTCTGCGGCGGGCAGGGAGCAGCCAGCCGTCCTCAGGCCTTGGCTTCGGCTGCGGGCGGTGGCGGGAGAGCCGAGGGTCCACTCAGAGCAGCGGCAGAGGCCAGCGTGGGCAGCCAGGCCGCCCTCTCCCTGCGCCCGCCCCTCAGGCCCCGCCCCCTCAGGCCCCGCCTTCTCTCAGGCCCCGCCTCTCCCGGCTCCGCAGGCCCCGCCTTCTAAGCTCAGGCCCCGCCCCCAGGCCCTTCTCTCCAGGTTCCCCACCACCAGGCCCTGCAGCTGAAGACCCCGCCCTCTCCCAGGCCCCGCCCCCAACAGGCCCCGCCCTCTTCCAGCTCCCGCCCCATAGGCTCTGCCCTCTCCCAGCTCACCACCCCAGGCCCTGCCCTCTCCTAAGCCCCGCCCTCTTCCTGCGCCTGCCCTGCAGGCCCCCCGTAGGCCCCGCCCCACAGGCCCCGCCTTCTCTTAGGACCCGCTCCTCAGGCCCCGCCCTCTCCCAGGCCCTTCCTTTCCAGGCTCCCCACCCCCAGGCCCTGCAGCTGAAGGCCCCGCCCTCTCCCAGGTCCCCCCCACAGGCCCCGCCCTCCCCAGGCTCCTCCCTCTCCCGGCTCCCGCCCCCATAGGCCCTGCCCTCTCCCAGTTCTCCACCCAGGCCCCGCCCTCTCCTAGGCCCCGCCCTCTCCCGGCTCCCGCCCCCAACAGGCCCCGCCCTCTCCCAGCTCCCCACCCCAGGCACACTGACAGTGGGGGCCCTGAGAGGGGCTCCTGCCCACAGAGAGGACCAGGGGCCTGAGGCCAGCTGGCTCTGGTGGCCCCTCAGGGAAGAAGCTTTCACTGCCTGTGATACAGGCGGAGAAACTGAGTCACCAGGCATCCCAGCAAAGCACCCTTGGCCACACAGATCACAAAGGGCTGCTGATGGTCAGACCCTGAGCAGGGCACATTCATGCTCACACACACAGTCCACACCTGTGTCACTCACAGGCGTGTGTGCAGACACGCCCGTCCGCAGATCCCACAGGCTCACACATACATGTCTACACCTGTGTTACACACACGCATGTATATACCCATGTCCACATTCACACACACATTTCTACACCTGTGTCATACATTTGTGTGTGTGCCTGTATCCACGGATCTCACACGCTCACGCACGTCCACGCCTGTGCCATACACGCATGTATGTATATACTCGCGTCCACAGATGCCACCTGCTCACACACGCACATCGCCTACCCCATGCACACGCATTCTCTCTTGCCCTCATACATGCACGTGTTCGTCTGTACACACACATGCGCACACACGTGTCTCCCAGCTCACACACGTCCATCCCATCCTGGGAAGGGAAAGTGAGTCAGAGGTGAGGGGTCAGCCCAGCCACCGTGGCCTCGCGTGACCCGGGCGGGCCGGGGCCTGCTCTGGGCCCTCCCTCCTCGAGCTGAGAGACCAGGTCCCTCCAGCCACTTCCGCTTCTGCGCCGCACGGTCCCGGGGCTGCTCCGCCCATGGCGCCCCCCAGTATATCCACTGAGAATTTCGGGACTGTTCCCCAATAGGCGAAGCCTCAGGCGCACGCCCTGACACTCTGTGGCTCCCTCAACTCTACCAGCAGTGGCCCTGGCGTGGCCCCTGAGCACCGAGCCGGGAGTCAGGCCTGAGCACTGCCTAGTGTGGCCCCAAGCCCAGCAGAAGCAGGACGGTCACACGTGCGAGGTGCTGGGTGCTTCCACACACGCAGTTCCGGGCGGCCGCGCCCTCGCCGTGGCCGGGCCCCCCACTCTGCCGTGTCCTGCAGCATGGAGATGTGTGACCAGACATACAACATCACCATGTGCCCGCTCTGCGACAAGACCTGCAGCTACTGGAAGATGAGCTCCGCCTGCGCCACGGCCCGCGCCAGCCACCTCTTCGACAACCCCGCCACCGTCTTCTTCTCCGTCTTCATGGCCCTGTGGGGTGAGCACTGTCAGGAGAGCCCGCACTGCACCCCCGAGGCTCCCAGGAGCGGGAGGGGACCCGAGCGGCCCAGGGCGCCCACTTCCAGCCCTGCACGTCCCGTGTCCACGGACGGGCCCGAGTGCTGGAGGGGATGCAACCGTGGGCGAGAACAGAGACCATTCCAGAACCCTCTGAGCTCAGGACACCTCAGCCCCCAAGCCCCACACCACCTCCTTCAGGAAGCCACCCAGCCTGCCCCACCTGGGATCACTTCCCTTGCAGGGAGGTTTGGGAGTGGGAAGGGGCTCCGCACCCGGGTCGGGTTCGCAGATAGGACTGCTCCCTGCCAGTCTGTCACCCCCTCTGCCGAAGGTGCCGGGGGTCTGGGTTCTGAGCTGTCCCATCTCTACCCTGCGCTGTGGGCGCAGGGAGGGGGAAGGGGCAGGACGTCAGGAGGGCTTCCTGGAGGAGGTGTTTTGAGCTGAGTTTGGGGCGGCTGTGAGCTGGCTGTGGCTGTAGGGCCCCGCGGAGAAACAGAGAGGCCACGGAGGAGCCTCCGGGCACAGGGCGGCTAGTCCCAGAGCTCGTGGTGCTTAGAGGGGTGCCAGGGAAGTGGGGAACTGCCAGGGACCCTCCCTCCCTCAGGGGCCGGAGCTGCCCTCGCCCGCCTGTCAGGGGAGGCGCTCGGATCCGAGGGTCAGGTGGGACAGTCGTCTCCCCGGGACGGCTCGCCTGGGCCCCCCGAACCACATTCAGGAGGGCCCCTGCCACCCCTCTCAGTCCTTTTCTCCCCCCCAGCACCATGTTTTTTGGTTTTGGTTTGAGTTTGGGGCCACATCGGAGATGCTCGGGGCCCATTCCTGAGTGCTCAGAGATCCTTGCTGGCGGGGCTCAGGGGCTCAGGGGATCGAGCCCAGGTGGGCCGGGTGCCAGGCGATCGCCCTCCTGCTGTGCTGTCACCCCGACCTCACCAGTGCCCCCTCAGCTCCCAACCCAACTCAGTGCCTGAGAGTGACGTCCGGGAGGACAGGACAGGCTGCACCCGAGTCCCGTGCCAGGACTTCCGGGGTGGGGCTCGGAGCCAATGTGCGGCCCTGGAGCTGGACCAGGCGGGACGCATCAGGCGACTGGAACGCCACTCGGCTCAGTCACAATCCGACCTTTACTGCAAACTGGGGTGGGGGGCCAGGCCCAGTCCTGGGGGGAAGAGGGCTAAGGGCCCCTTGCCCCCGTGGTGCAGATACCTCCCCCAGCCCAGCCCAGATCTCCCTGAGCCCTGGAGCCCGGGAAGGGGTCAGCCCACTCCTGCGCGTGGGAACCTGCAGGGGGTCCCCGCTAGACCTTCTGAGGGCCAATCGTGCCACTGTCCTCATATAGCACAGCGGGCCACCTCTTGCTATTGTCATTTCCTGTGACTGTCACCTCACACTTCTGTCACCTTACGCTCCTGTCACCTCACACTCCTAACACCTGTGACTGTTACCTCACACTCCTGTCACCTCACACTCCTGTCATCTGTCACTGTCACCTCCTATGATGGTTAACTTACACTTCTGTCACCTCACTCCTGTCACCTCACATCCCTGTCATCTGTGATTATCACCTCACTCTCTTGTCCCCTGTGACTGTCACCTCACACTCCTGTCACCTCACACTCTTGTTACCTCACACTCCTGTCACTTCACACTCCTGTCATCTGTGATTATCACCTTACACTCCTGTCACCTATGACTGTCACCTTACACTTCTGTCACCACCTGTGGCTGTCACCTCACACTCCTGTCACCTCACTCCTGTCACTTCACACTCTTGTCATCTGTGATTATCACCTCACGCTCTTATCCCCTGTGACTGTCACCTCACACTCCTGTCACCTCACTCCTGTTACCTCACACTCCTGTCATCCCTGATTATCACCTCACGCTCTTGTCCCCTGTGACTGTCACCTCACACTCTTGTTACCTCACACTCCTGTCACCTGTGACTGTTATCTTACACTTCTGTCACCACCTATGGCTGTGACATCACACTCCTGTCACCTTAGTCCTGTTACATCACGCTCCTGTCATCTGTGACTGTCACCTCTATGATGGCTAACTCACTCCTGTCACGTCACTCTCCTGTCCCCTGTGACCATCACCTCACGCTCCTGTCACCTCACTCTCCTCTTACCTCCCACTCCTGTCCCCTGTGACTGTCCCCTCGTGCTCCCGTCACTTCCTGTGCTGTCTGTGCAGTGTCACCTGGCTGATGAGGCCAGATTCGTGCACCTGGAGGCCCGGGCCTGAAGCTCACGCTGCTCTCACGGGTCTCCATCCCCCGGAACAGCACAGACTGTCCCAACGCCGTGCTCAGTCGCGACCCAGATCCTCATGGGTCTCTCCATCCCTTCCCGGGTCCAGCAAAAACGTTTCTGGGCAAGGCTGAGGAAGGGGCTCCGGGGGCAGAGCCGTAGAGCAGCCGGGAGGGTGCCGCCCTGCACACGGTCAACCTGGGTCCCACCTCTGGCACCCTGTATGGTCCCCTGAGCCCGCCAGGAGTGATCCCAGAGCACAGAGCCAGGAGTCAGCCCTGACGCCACTGGGTGTGACCCAAAACCAAGAGAAAACTGAAAAGAAAGGCCTAGGGGAGGGGCAGAGCCCCTGTGCGGGTCTCGTGCAGGGCGTGGGTGCCCATCCTGGCTGTCCCCTGGCCCAGGACCTGCCACCCCAGGCTGCACTCGGCTGGAGTGGGCTGGACACGGGGGCAGCAAACAGCGAGGCCCCACGCTGACCCGTCCCCCAGAAGAGCCTCGCTCTGCCCTGGGCACGGGTGTCCGACGCCAGCCGTGTGGACGCCTCGGCCGCGGATTTGGTCCTTTCTGAGTCGGGAGGGGACGAGTTAGCGCCGAGCCAGACCCCGCGGCGGGTGGGCAATGCCGCTCGGACCCACCGACCCTCCTCTCCACACACCCCACCCCCGGGAGCTTGGGGCTGGAGGTCAAAGAGTAGCGGCGAGGGCCCAGCCTGCCCGACACAAACCCCACCCACCCCACGCCGGCATCCGCCCTGCCTGTGCCTCAGTTTCCCTGTGCTGACCCTGGCTTCCTGCTCGTCCGCAGCCGCCACCTTCATGGAGCACTGGAAACGGAAACAGATGCGGCTCAACTACCACTGGGACCTCACGGGCTTCGAGGAGGAGGAGGTGAGACGAGTGAGGCCCCCCTCCCCCACCCCCCAGCTCCCGCCCGGCCCCGGCCCAGCCCTGGCCTCACCGCTCCGGCGTCCCCCCTGGTTAGAGGGTCCCAGGTCAGGCGCTGAGCCCGATGCCCAGAGCGACTCCCTGAGAAATACCGGGACCCACTGCAATTCAGGAGAGTCTGGGTTCCACCCCCTGAGGCGGGGACCCCTCCCTGGGTCTCCCCGAAAGGCCTCGTTGCTACTGCTGCACCCCGTGATGCCAGAAGGGGGGTTAGGAGCGGCAGGACAGTCAGGGACCCCCGAGGATGGCCCAGGAGAGAGGGGACAGGGCCCCGAGCACTGCGTAGAGGCAGACGGGCACTGGTGCCGCCTCCGGGTGACAGCCGTTTCCAGAGGAGCCCCACTGTGGGGGTCACTGAGAATATCGCTCCCGGGGGTCTCAGGCCCTGCACCACCCCCTGGCCTGTCCCGAGCCTGCTCTGTGCCAACTGCAGGCGGCAGGCTGGGACTGCAGGGCCAGGCCGCTGGGGGGACCAGGAGACCTCGCGGGGGGGACCAGGCGGCCCCGGTGTGGGTGGGGAACAGGCAACCTGGGGGGGACAGGGGAACTCGGGGGGGACTAGGCAACCTTAGGGGAACCCAGCAGCCTCGGGGACGCACAAGCTGGGCAGAGTCTGTGTCTGCCTGTGCGGCCGCATCTTCACCTCTCCAAGGCCACAGCCAGCCACGGCCCCTCCATGGTCCCCCGACCCCCCCTGGGCTCTGTCCTGTCCCCAGGCAGAGAGGCCGAGGCCGGGGCCACCCAGGCATGGCCCTGGGAGTCGGAAGCAGGACGGGCCTGTCCTTGCGGCCACCTCAGTCCAGGCTTCCAAGAGCCGAGGCCACTGTGGCCGGCCTCTCAGCGTCACCTTCTTGTGAGGTCACAGGGGTGGGTGTCGGGGGACCCCAAGACTCCTGCCTATGGTCCCAGTTCCTCCAAGTGTGTGACTCTCACCCCATGAAAGCTTGGGGTGGGGGGGTGTTCTCTGAGTTGCTGCCAAGGCCCTGGGGCCGCCTCGGCATGGCCAGCGCCCAGCCAGTGGACACAGTGGACAGCTCCCCGATCCCCCTGGACCCGCCAGGACTCGGGCGCAGGGGTCCCCCCGAGTGCTGGTCCCGGAACCCTCCCCGTGTGTCCGCGGCCCGTGCCGTGCGGGACAGCCCCGAAGTAACCAAACCTTTTTGTCTTTGTTTTCACGTTTCGGGGTCCCCGCAGGAGGCCGTTAAGGTTTGGAATTTTCGTCTCCCCTCTGCTCCCACTTCCTGTCTCCCGGGAGAGGGCCCCCCTCTGGCACCTGTCACGCCTCTTTCCTGCCGAGCGGTGCCCCGGAGCACTGCCGCCACGGGCGGGGGGCTCGGCTTCTCCCCTCTGCTCCCCGCTGGTAACCCCGTCTTCCTTTCCAGCGCCCTCGCTGCCGGCCGGTCTCGGGCCTGACTGCTTGCTCGTCCTCTCTGACCCCCGCTCTCGGCAGACGGGTCTCGGGGGCCAGCTCACGGCTGGGGCGCCACAGAGGGGCCAGGCCGTCGGGGCGTCTCGGCCTGCGCCTGGCTGCCTCCAGATTCGGGGTTCCCAGTGTGGGCGGCGTCCAGGGCCACGTCCCTGGAGGCCGAAATTGGAAGTAGGGGTCGCAGCCCGCTGTGAGCTGGCCCCCAGGGGTTCGAGGTGAAGGGCGTCCGGATGCGGGGCGGCCAGGCTCACAGCCCCCCGGGGCCCCGTCTCCTTGGCAGGACCATCCCCGGGCCGAGTACGAAGCCAGAGTGCTGGAGAAGTCGCTCCGGAAAGAGTCCAAGAACAAAGAGGTACGGTGGCCGCGCCCGATGTGGGTCCCTCCCGGCGGTGTAGACTGGGTCAGGACCAGTGTTCTCGCCTAAGGAGCACTGGAAGTGGGGGAGGGCACTCCCACGCTCGGGCAGCTGAGTGGAAGCAGCAGGAACTTTCCTGAGGACCGGCTCTTAGAAACCTCCGCTCTGGGCTCTGCAGAGCTGAGTAACGGGCGTGGCTGGTGCCAATAAAACTTTATTTACAAAGGCAAGTGGAGGGCCGAGTTCGACCCCACATGCTGGCAGAATCCAGCAAATACTCCACCTCTTGCTCCGTCCCGGGGCTGCTCTCAGAAACGCAACCTTCACGGCCATACCCAGTCGCTTGGGACTTTTCCAGGTGCCCTGAGCATCAGGGGCCACGCGAGGCCTGGGTGGAGGAGGGAAACGTGCCCAGTGGGGGCATGACCGCCTGCTCCTGGCTTGGTTTGGACGCCGAGGCTGAGCCGGGAGGCCGAGTCGTGATCGGGAGTTTCCGATGCGAATTTCTTCCTTTCTCCCCAGACCTCGCTTCCCGTCTCCTGCCAAGACTCGGCCTCAGAGGCACTTGGCGAGTTTGTCAGGGGAGGGCGTGTGGCAGGGTCTGACCCCTGAGGTCTCTGCCAGGTGTAGGGGTGGGGGGTGCGTAGGGGCCCCCGAAGGTACCGCTATTTGCACACTCCGCACTGGGCCCCGCGTGCCCATCTCCGGTTCGATTCCTCGTCACTGATTCCTGGACAGGGGTTGGCGGGCGGGCGGCAACGGGGAGGTGCCCAGGACCCCCTTGGGCCCACCTCCCCCAAAACAGCACACCACAGCCCCGCCCCTCCAGGCCCTGAGCTGGACCCCACAACTCAGGGCTGTGCACACTCACCCCAACCCAGACTGTCTGTCTCGCCCTCGGGAGGCGCCAGGGAGGAGTGTTTTGGGGGCGTGTCCCCCGCTGGGCCCCCTGGCTGCCCTTCCCCCACTCGGGTCTCAGTGCTGGGAACTGGGTGGAAAGCGGGTCTCACTGAATCACCTCTGCAGTACGCGACCCCCCTAGCCCTCCTGGGGCCGCTCACTCCACGCCCCACTTCCGCCCTCCGAACCAGAGGGATGGAAGAGCCTGAAGCCCCCTGGGGTCCCCAGCCCATGGTCCCCACCCTAGGGAGACTCGCCGCTTGCCCAGGATGGAGAAGGGCTCGATGTCCCGGGCCCCCACAAAGGGACAGGGAGGAATTGGGGAGCGCCGACCACACACCCCACTCTCCCTTTTCTCCTATTTTATTTTCTCCCAGAGACCCCCCCACCCGGGGGCTTCCTGTCCCACCCCTAGCAATGGCGCCACATGCACGGGGGTTGGGGGCATGGGGAGATGCAGGGAGGCCTCGGCTGACCCCGGCTGACCCCAGCTGGCCGTCACCATCTCTTGGGGTTGGCTCTGGGTGCAGCTGTGAGCGGCCAGGAGCATGTGGCCCTCGGGGACCTCCCGGCCTCTGTCCCCAAGCCTCGGCCCCGCGCCCTGGCCGCCCTGGTGGCCTGCCCTGTGGGACGTGGTCTGTGCCACCCCAAGGGGGTTTCTGGGCCTCAGCGGTGCCAGCATAGCCGTGGCAGCCAGAGCCTGGAGGCTTCAACAACTCGGGACGGGTCGGGGAGGGGGCCGAGGCCGGGGCGCCCCCGCCTCACCCCCCTCTGCTCTCTTGTTCCCCATCCGCCCTCAGAAGCGCCGGCATGTGCCCGAGGAGGCCACAAACCAGTGGCAGCGGAGGGTTAGGACGGCCCTGGCAGGGGTGAAGCTGGTACTTGTCTCTGGGCGCCGGGAGGCTGCCAGTGCACCGGCACCTGCGCCCCGTGTCCCACAGCCGCGCCGGTTGCGTTTCGCGCTGCCCTTCACCCCTGCCTGCCTCCGCCCTGCACCCAGCGAGCCAGCCGTGCGTGGGCCGTCACTGCATGGAGCTGGGGCCTGCTGCTCACCTCACAGCCCGCGGGGTGGGGGGTGGGGCGTCCTGGGCCCTGGGTGGCGCGTGCATGCCTCCCGGCCCCGGAATGAGCAGCCTGGGCGTGGGGGTGCTTGGACCCGGCCGGAGAGCCCCAGGCCGAGCGCGGCCGAGCCCCGCACCCCGGCCCGAGCGCAGCCTCTGACCCTTGTGTGCAGCTGCCCGTCACGACTCGCTCGGTGACAGGAAAATCACGAGGACGGTGTGGGTGGGGTGGGCACCCCAGGACCCCTGCGGAGCCCCGCGAGGCCCAGACGCCGCTTCTGGAACATTCCGTGGGCACTCAGGCCGCGTCTGCGGGCGTCCACGCGGCTGCTGTCCGGGCCGATTGCTCGCATGCGCCCCGGCCGGGTCTGCTGACCCCCTTGCCTTGTGTTTGGCAGACAGACAAGGTGAAGCTGACGTGGAGAGACCGCTTCCCGGCCTACGTCACCAACCTGGTCTCCATCATCTTCATGGTAGGTCCCCCCGCAGGGGGCCGGGAGTTAGCACAGGGGCACGGGCCGGCTCCAGTCCCCAGCACCACCAGGAGAGGCCCCAACACTCCTGAGCACTTCTTGGGGGCCCACGAAATGTTCCACAGGGGACAGTGCTGCCCAGTGGCTGCCTTGAGATCCCTAGAGACCTCCCCCCTCCCCGCTGGGCCTCTTGCAGGGGTCACCTGCAGACTCTGGGCCCCTATGCCCTCTGCTTCTGTCCCTCATGCCGGGAGGCTGTGGTCACTGCACGTGACTGTCCCCACGCCCACCCAAGCTTTAGGGCCGATTTGGCCCGGGTGGGGGGCTTTGTGGGCATCAAGAGACTCTGCCTGTCACCACCTGTGGGGAAACTGAGGCTTGAGGTTAGCTCCCCCCGCCCCAGGCCATCGCCAGCCAGTGGCCAGGCCTCCCAGCGGCCCCGGGCCCCCACGGGCATGGCCTGTCCTGCTGCTCCAGGCCCGGGAGAGGGAGGGCAGCCTTGCGGGGGCCCGGACACCTGAGCAGCCTGTCCCTTTCGCCCAGCTGGGCACCAGCCTTCGAGGACTCAGCCCCGCCCAGAGTGCCCCAGGCTCACCCCACAGGGACCAGGAGCAGGACTGGGACTGGGAAGGGCCCCTGCGCCCGGGCTCCTCCTGCAAAGAAGGACAGTGTCACCATGGCAGAGTCAGCGCGGGGGCTGGTGCCCAGGCACCTGGAGTGGCCTTAGCTGGACACAGGGCCAGGAAACGGCTCAGGATAGCGTGTGGCTTTGCACGAGGGGGCCCAGAGTGCGAGCCGGAGCACCACAGTGTCCTGAGCTGCCAGGCGTGGGGACACCCCCCCCCCAACTCACGCATCAGGCCGGGGGTTGCCCCTGAGTTTTTCCAGCTTTTGTGACCCCCAAACCAAACACAAATAAGAATTGAGTAGGTGGGACCTGCGGGGCCCTTCAGACCCCGCTCCCCTGCCCTGGGCCTCCGGCCCCTCTTGCCCACAACGTGGCTGCTTGGGCGCCAGCATCACCTCTGCTCCCTGGAGGCGGAAGCTAGGGGAGGTATCATCCCTTTGGACGCGCTTCCCCAGAGAACCTGCCTGCCGCCCGCCGCGGCCTCAGTCCTCTCCAAGGCTGGGAAGTGGACGATGCCCTGCCCAGGAGGGCCACAGGCAAGGAGTGGCCGCAACTCCTGGAACGTCTGCCCCTGACAGATGAGTCACTTCTGTCCACCTCCGGGAGCGTTTTTTGATTGATTTTTTTTTGGGGGGGGTGGGGGTTGGAGGCAGTGGTAGGGCTTCCTCCTGGCTCTGAACTCAGGAATCACTCCTGGCGGTGCTCAGGGGACCCCGTGGAGATTGGCCCTGGGCTGACGGTGTGCACGGCCAGCGCCCTCCCTGCTGTGCCATCACTCTCTGGCCTGCTGCTTTGGGCCACACTTGGCAGTGCTCAGGGCTCACTCCTGGCGGGCTCTGGGGACCCTACAAGGGGCTTGGGATCAAACCTGCGTCAGCTCCACGCCCTGCCACCGTCTCGTCTCTCCGTTTGTAATGGGTGGACACCGACGCAGCATTCCTGGACTGGCACGCTGCGGCACAGACATACCAGCCCCGACTGGCTCCGGCCCCCGGCGGCTGAGGTCCCCGCCCTGGGGCTGTGCCAGCCCTCGGCTGAGTCAGCGCGCCAGGCTGCACCCCCACATGCGGCCCCTGGCTCTCCCTGGGCGGAGCCCTTGGCAGGAGTGAGGGAATTTCCAAGGAAAGCCCTGGTCAGGGCTGGCCCCGAGCCGCAGAGCCCCTCCGCCCGGGCGTGGTGGGAGCAGCTCTTTGAAGCTCTTAGTCACGGCTGTGAGCGGGACTCGCTGCCCTGGAAGGCTGTGAGCCAGCGCAGGCCCCTGAATGATGTGGGCACTCGGCCCTCTGGTTCCCCCTGAGTCCTGAGGGTCAGGAGGCACCCAGGCCTCTCTGGGGTGAAGCCGGGACAGCCGTCTGTCTGTCTGGGAGGGAGCACAGGAACACCCGCTCCCCCCGCCCCCCCAACCACACCTGTCCGAGGCCCTCACAGAGCTGGGCAGGGCACGGATGGGGCACACGCGCCGGCTCGAGCCTCACAGACTTCACGGCCGGGACCCCCATCTAGGGGGCTGCGGATCAGGGACCCCCACTTAGGGGCTGCAGGCATGGGATCCCCATCTAGCAGTTCTGTGGGGCCAGACCCCCTGCTTAGGGGGCTGCAGGCCTGGGACCCCCATCTAGTGGGGCTGCAGGGCCGGGACTCCCTCCTAGGGCCTGCGGGGCCAGGACCCCTGCTTTGGGGGCTGCAGGCCTGAGACCCCCATCTAGCGAGGCTGCAGGCCTGGGACCCCCTCATAGGGGCCAGCGGGGCCGGGACCCCCGCTTTTGGGGCTGCAGGCCTGGGACCCCCTCCTATGGGCCAGCGGGGCCGGGACCCCGCTTTGGGGGCTGCAGGCCTGGGACCCCCACCTAGTGGGGCTGCGGGGCCGGGACCCCCGCCTAGCACCTGCCCACTCCGCAGATCGCCGTGACCTTCGCCATTGTCCTGGGCGTGATTATCTACAGGATCTCCACGGCGGCCGCCCTGGCCATGAACTCGTCACCCTCCGTGCGCTCCAACATCCGGGTGACGGTCACGGCCACGGCTGTCATCATCAACCTGGTGGTCATCATCCTCCTGGACGAGGTGTACGGCTGCATCGCCCGCTGGCTCACCAAGATCGGTGAGTGTCGCCGCGGCGCGGGGTGTGGGGCGCGGGGCGCGGGGAGGGCGCCCCCTCCCCCAGGGGGCTAATGCGTCCCCTCCCCCCAGAGGTCCCCAAGACGGAGAAGAGCTTCGAGGAGCGGCTCATTTTCAAGGCCTTCCTGCTCAAGTTCGTCAACTCCTACACGCCCATCTTCTACGTGGCCTTCTTCAAAGGCCGGTACGGACGCTCGTGCCCAGGACTGGTCAGGCAGGGGCCACAGCAGGGGGGGGTGGACCCAGGTAGAGGGCCCAAGACAGCCAGGACCCAAGCTGGGCGGATCCTGGGTCACTGGGACCCCAAACATAGACTCCCCAAATAGCAGGAATGCAGACGAGGGGGCAGGTGGGGGAGGCAGAGTCAGTGGGGACCCAGATTGTGGTCCCAGGAGCCCCCACTGTGGATGGGGCTGAGTCCAGGCTGAGAGCCCAAGGGGACGGTGAGAGCCATGGCCAGTGCCCGGGGCCTCCGGGGCCATCCCCCACCAGGCAGACTGTGAGCCCCCAAACAGCCACTCCTGCTCAGAGTGATGGGAAAGACCCTGGACCCCCTGTGCCAAGCCCCCTCCCACTGAGGGGCTCCATGAACCACCATGGAGAGGGGTCCAGGGCCCCTGAGGGTATCGGAGAGGGAGGAGGGGGCTGGTGCCTCCTGGTCACCCCACAGCCACCCCCTCCCTGGGGGTCCTGAGCACCTCAGAGGCCCCAAGCCCCGAGCACAGGGGACCCATCCCCACTGGGGGCACCTGCTCCCCCTCCCTGCCCCTCCTGGGTTCTCCCAGAGGCTCCGCCCTCTCAACCGCCCCCCCTTGCAGGTTTGTGGGGCGCCCGGGTGACTACGTCTACATTTTCCACTCTTTCCGGATGGAGGAGGTAAGTGGGTCACCGGCCTCCGCCCAGCCGGGGAGGGGCAGCACCGCAGGCCTCTGTTGGGCAAAGATGCCCCCGGGCGAGGGGTGCCCACCGCTGTCCCCATTTCCCCTGACAATGGCCGCACGCCCAGGTGCCGGCACTGGCTTCTCGGGGTCTGGCTGGCACAGTTGAGTCCTGACTCCCGGGTCGCTCTTGGCTCAGTCAGCCCCAGGTGCCCCTTTAGGGGATGCCTGGTGGAATCTTCCAGAATTATTCTGCTCGTGGGAAATAGGGGAGTGGGCCCATAGCAAAGGCACGGGGCTTCAGGAGCTCACGGTGGCCTTCAGGCACGGGCTGACCTAGCTGCCTGGCACTCAGAATAAAAGGCGCCCCTTGTGTTGGCACTGGACACCGAGGACGTGGGCCTCAGCCCGGGAACGGAGCTTTGCCGAAGCTGCCCCCCGCCTGTGACCCCCCAATTCCTGAACAGTCTCCGGCAGGGGTGCGGGTGGGAGCCGACGCTCTGGAGAAGGGGGTACCACCATGCGTCCCCGAGGCCAGGGTGCGCGGGATGGCATGAGGAGACTTGCTCGGGACTGGCAGGTGGACGCACCGACCGGGCCTTGGGTTCAGCGCCCAGGGAGCCCTCCGAGCTCACGCGGTCACAAAGCCGCAGGGATGAGCACTGGGCCTCAGAGCAGGGCAGCTACTGTGGGACCCCCCCGAGCAGCCCACCGACCCCCCAAGTGCACCCTCCTTGCAGGGCCGCCGGGGGCGGGTTGGGGCCGAGGCTGGCACCCTACCCCTAGTCTGGAGTCTGCGACGGCTGCCCCGGCTGTCACCAGTCTTCTAGCTGTCACCTGTCAGCCCCTGTCCCCCGGCTGTCACCCTGCCTCCCCCTGTGCCTGGCCGTCACTCCATCACCCCCTGCCCCCGGCTGTCACCCCACTGTGACTGTCGTGGACTTTGGGGGCTGCGGCCTCACCCCACCCGCCTGCTGGGTCGGACCCAGGCCAGCCGCCCTGGTACCAAACAAGGCAACATTCCTGACCCCGGGGTCCACATGAGGACGCGTCTTCCTTCTGCTTTGGGGTCACGCCAAGAAGGGCCGGGGGTGTCTCCTGGTGAAGGGAGGCCCCGGAGCCCCGGCCGGCCCTGCCTGACTCTCCCGGGGACGCATTTGACCGAGCACAGGGCGTGGGACCCTCGGGCAGGCTGGGGCTGAGCGGCGTGTCCCGTGTCCCGCAGTGCGCGCCCGGGGGCTGCCTGATGGAGCTCTGCATCCAGCTCAGCATCATCATGCTGGGGAAGCAGCTCATCCAGAACAACCTCTTCGAGATCGGCGTCCCGTGAGTGGGGCGCGCCTGTGCGGGGGTCCCCCGAGAGTCAGGGGCTGCGTCCCTGTGATGGGCGGCTGGGCAGCCGGCCCCCAGCTCGAGGTCAGAAAGGCGGGGTCCGCCGGCTGAGCTCTGTGTCACTTTCCGCGTGTCCCCCAGGAAAATGAAGAAGTTGATCCGCTACCTGAGGCTCAAGCACCGCAGCCCTGCGGACCACGAGTACGTGAAGCGCAAACAGCGCTACGAGGTGGACTTCACGCTCGAGCCCTTCGCCGGCCTCACCCCCGAGTACATGGAGATGAGTGAGTGTCCCCAGTCGCCCGAGTCCAGGGAGATCAGTGGGTGCCCCCACGCCCCCCAGTCACCCCGAGCCCATGGAGGCGAGTGGGTGCCCCGTCCCCCCAGTCACCCCGAGTCCATGGAGGCGAGTGGCTGCCCCGTCCCCCCAGTCACCCCGAGTCCATGGAGGCGAGTGGCTGCCCCGTCCCCCCAGTCACCCCGAGTCCATGGAGGCGAGTGGCTGCCCCGTCCCCCCAGTCACCCCGAGTCCATGGAGGCGAGTGGCTGCCCCGTCCCCCCAGTCACCCCGAGTCCATGGAGGCGAGTGGCTGCCCCGTCCCCCCAGTCACCCCGAGTCCATGGAGGTCAGTGGCTGCCCCGTCCCCCCAGTCACCCCGAGTCCATGGAGGTCAGTGGCTGCCCCGTCCCCCCAGTCACCCCGAGTCCATGGAGGTCAGTGGCTGCCCCGTCCCCCCAGTCACCCCGAGTCCATGGAGGCGAGTGGCTGCCCCGTCCCCCCAGTCACCCCGAGTCCATGGAGGTCAGTGGCTGCCCCGTCCCCCCAGTCACCCCGAGTCCATGGAGGTCAGTGGCTGCCCCGTCCCCCCAGTCACCCCGAGTCCATGGAGGTCAGTGGCTGCCCCGTCCCCCCAGTCACCCCGAGTCCATGGAGGCGAGTGGCTGCCCCGTCCCCCCAGTCACCCCGAGTCCATGGAGGTGAGTGGGTGTTTTCTGCTGGAATCAAACCCATGTGAACCAGGGGTGGCAGGCAACTCCCCAACTCCCTAACACTCCTGTTAGGATCCAGGGTGTGGGACGCCCACAATAAAGCCGGTCTGCGATTGGCTGAGGGAGGAGACCTGCACTGGGATTGGCTGAGGGAGGAGATCTGCACTGGGATTGGCTGAGAGACGAAGGCCTGCACTGGGGTTGGCTGAGGGATGAAGACCTGCACTGGGATTGGCTGAGGGATGAAGACCTGCACTGGGATTGGCTCAGGGACGAAGACCTAAACTGGGATTGGCTCAGGGACGAAGACCTAAACTGGGATTGGCTCAGGGACGAAAACCTGAACCAGGATTGGCTGAGGGAGGAGACCTGCACTGGGATTGGCTCAGGGACGAAGACCTAAACTGGGATTGGCTGAGAGATAAAGCCTTGAGCTGGGATTGGCTAAGGGACGAAGACCTGAACTGGGATTGGCAGAGGGATGAAGACCTGCACTGGGATTGGCTCAGGGACGAAGACTTGAACTGAGATTAGCTGAAGGATGAAGACCTAAATCAGGATTGGTTGAGGGATGAAGACGTGTACTGGGATTGGCTGAGGGATGAAGACCTGCACTGGGATTGGCTGAGGGCCATTCCTTTGGCAAAATGAGCTCCTTAGGCCGGGCTGCTCCTGCGCGCGCCAAGCAGGTGCAGCCGCGCTCCCCGCACACGCACAGCTGCAGGCGACGGGAAGACCCGGGTCTGTGCAGCCGGCCTGGCCCCTCCGTCTTCCCTCCGGCCCAACCCGCCCCAGCAGCCGGCTCATCCCTTGGCCTCTGTCCTCCCCAGCCCCCTCCCCTCGCGCCCCTGCACTCCCCGACTGCCCATGTGCAGCACTGACCGCCCCCCATCCCTTGCACCCAGACGCCTGTCCTCCTTCTCGCAGGCCCGGAGCCCCCAAAGGCACGTGCTGGAGGGAGAAGGCTGGGAGCCAGACCCTCCCTCGGGCCCGGTTGGTTGGGGGAGCCGGACACAGGGGACTCTCGGGGCTCCAGCCCCAGGGTCAGTGTCCCAGCAGGCCCCAGTGTGACGAGCGTCCAGCGCGAGTCCGGCCAGCACGGACACGCTCAGATCACCGGGTCCTGGGCACGGAGGGCGTGTCCCCCTCGCCCACCGGAAGCGAGTCGGGCCTCGAGCCCACGGGGGACTCTTGCTGACCCTCCTGCTCTGCCCACAGTCATCCAGTTCGGCTTCGTGACCCTGTTCGTGGCCTCCTTCCCGCTGGCCCCGCTCTTTGCGCTGCTGAACAACATCATCGAAATCCGGCTGGACGCCAAGAAGTTCATCACGGAGCTGCGGAGGCCGGTGGCCGTCAGAGCCAAGGACATCGGTGAGTGAGGGCGGCCATGGGGTCCCGGCCCCGGCTGGGGGACACCGAGCCCTAGAACCCCTCGGGGTTGGAAAGGGGTGGGCTTCACCCAGTGTCCGGCTCGCCCTGCTGAGAGGGGTCCGGAAGCCGTGAGCCGGAGAAGGGGGACGGGGTGGGGGGCAGCTTGGAGGTTGGGGATGGCCACTGGTCCGGGCAGCATCGGTCTCTGCAGACCCGGCCGCCCTCTTGGCGGGACCCGGTGGGGCCTGTCTGGGCGGCTACAGCAGTTTCCCACGTCCCAGAACTGACGGATCTACAGATGGCCCTTCTTGTCCCTGCCCGGAAGTGTCCGTGCCCGCGGCTTCCAGTCCAGAGAGCGGCCTGGCGAGTTCCCCTCTTCCGGGTCTCCCGGACCCAAGGTCCCCTCTCTGCGTCCCTCCCTGCAGCCCGGGCACAGCCTGACAGACTGAGGGGCTTGGCACCCGAGCGCTGAACTGTGTCACCTGGAAATGGTCCTGGGGCCCGAGAGGGGCCCGGGCAGATCCCTGAGCCGCGCTTCCAGCTGGAAAGACTGTGGCCAGGCAGTGGGCAGTGCCCCGGGGCCCCCGGGGAAGTGGCTTTGCCCTGGAGAGCGGCCCCCGGGAGGACCGAGAGGTCAGGGCAACGTGCCAGGCTCCTGGACGGTCCTGGGGGATCTGGAGGCTGAGCCCAGTGGCACCAAAGACAAGACGCAGTGGCCCCAGCGCTGCCCGACTCACAAAGGGCCAATTCTCAGGGCCGCGGCCCCTGGCCAGCGGCTGTGTTTGCCTTGGCACCTTTCACTTGGCAAAGCCCTGCCCACACCCCCCCCCCCCAGCATCGTGAACCCTGCACCTCCCTGCCCCCGGAATAGGAGGGAGCTCAGAGTGGGTCCCGTGGTCTCCCTCTACTTCCACTCACCCACTCACACCCCTCCTCGGACCCATGTCCTCGGGGGGTTGCTGCGTTCCCCCCTGCCCCGCCCCCCAGTTCTGGCTCAGCTGCCGGCTTCCTGGTTCCCGGCCCTCAGTGGAGCACATAACCTTTCCTTGAAGAGGAAAGCAAAATCTTTTGTATTGCTTCTGTGATCCATGCACGGCCCCAGGGGATGAGAGCCCCTGGTGGCCTGGTGGCCCCAGGACCTTTGCCCACACGGCCGGGAATGGGTTGGGGCTCTGCCACAAAGAGGCACCCGCCCAGTGGGGAGGGAGCCTTGGCGAGAGGCCCTGGGCACTGGCCCGTGCCCTCTTGGCACCTGTTGCCCCTCATGACCTGACCTTTATTGGGGGGAGAGGGTGTTTGGCCACTCCTGGTGGTGCTCAGGGCTCACTCCTGGCTCTGTGCTCAGGGGTCATTCCTGGCGTGCTCAGGGCACCGTAGGAGGTGCTGGGATTCAAATCCAGGTCGTTTACATGTAAGGTCAGCGGCCTGCCCTCCGTCCTCACTGACCCTGACCTTTGACACGCAGCTCACATGCTCCCTGCTTCTTCCCTCAGCTTCCAGGGAGACCCCCAGGCATGGCGTGTGTGGGAAGGGGCTTCGTGACCCGGGATGCGTGTGGGCGCACCCCTCTGAGTCTCTGTAAAGGAAGTCCCAAGGTTTTCCCCCAAAGCGTACAGCCCCCCCCCCCCCCGGATCCTAGCGAGAGCTGTGACTGGGGTGAGCCTCTGTCACCCAGGGGAAGGGTTCTGGGTGCCCCGAGAATCAGCTCCCACATGATGCCACACCTGTAGTCCAGCTCGGGGTTCGGAACCCGGCCCCTAGGCTGCTGATGTGGGGGTCCCATAGTGGGCCGCCAGCCTGGACAGAGGTCACTGTTCAGGGTCAGAACCAACCTGAGCACTCCACAAGTACCCCCTGAGCACAGAGCCAAGGGCAACGCTTGACTGCTGCCGGGTGTGACCTAGATCCCCCTCAAAGAGACATGAAGGATGCAGGCACCCTGGGTGCGCGCAGTCAGCCTCCACCCCCCCTCTGGACCCCCATCCTGCCTCTGCGCGCTGAGCTCACGTGCTGTTCCCTGCCTCCGACTCCCCTCTGCTGGCTCACCCCCACATCAGTGCGGGCTCTCACACTTGGACCATCCACACGGTGTCCGTCCTGGCTTCCTTTGTTTTGGTTTGTTTCTGTGGGGGTGTGGGATTCCCAGGGATGCCAGAGGTACCCGGCCTCACGCACGGTGCCGGGGTCAAACCCAGAGCCCTGTGCACGCCAGGCCTGCGCTGCAGACCTGTGACCATGTCCCCGGCCGCTTACTATTGTCCTGGGAACATTAGGCCCGCTGCATATTTTGACAAGCCTCCCACCACCCATCTCGTAGTGGACGTGGGTTTCGACACACTCACAAAGGGAGTTAGCTCTGGAGACCGGAACCGCAGGGCGCAGTGCAGCCTGCAGGGGCGCTTTCAGTTGCGGCCAGATTGTCCCCGAGACAAGCCCGCACAACTGATAACTCTTAAATTGAGCTATGCTGGGCATTGTTTTTTTTTCTTTTTGGGTCCCACCTGGCGATGCACAGGGGTTCCTTCTGGCTCTGCACTCAGGAGTTACTCCTGGCGGTGCTCAGGGGACCATATGGAATGCTGGGGATCGAACCCGGATCGGCAGCGTGCAAGGCAAACGCCCTCCCCGCTGTGCTATCGCTCCAGCCCCTATGCTGGGCATTGTTAAACAGACAGATGAAACAATCTGTCATCCTGCCTGGCCCCAAACACACACTCTGCAGGATTCTGGCCGGTGGGAGGAGTCTGTCTGGAGGGAGGGGCCTGGCTGGTGGGCAGGGTCTGTCTGGTGGGAGGGGCATGGTAGGGGAGGAGTCAGCTTTGTGGGAGGCACCAGCTGGTGGGCGGGATCTGATTTGTGGGCGGGGCACAGCTGGTGGGTGGAGCCAGCTTTGTGGGAGGGGCCAGATGCTGGGAGGAGTCTTGTTTGTGGGCGGGGCATGGCTAGTGGGAGGAGTCTGGTTTGTGAGAGGGCCAGCTGGTGGGAGGAGTCTGCTTCGTGGGAGGGGCCAGCTGGTGGGCGGAGTCAGCTTCATGGACGGGGCTAGCTGGTGGGAGGAGTCTTGTGTGTGAGCAGGGTGTGGTTAGTGGGAGGAGTCTGCTTCGTGGGCGGGGCATGGGTGGTGGGAGGAGTCTGCTTCATGGGAGGGGCCAGCTGGTGGGAGGAGTCTTGTGTGTGAGCAGGGCGTGGTTAGTGGGAGGAGTCTGCTTCGTGGGCGGGGCATGGGTGGTGGGAGGAGTCTGCTTCATGGGAGGGGCCAGCTGGTGGGAGGAGTCTTGTGTGTGGGCGGGGCATGGTTGGTGGGAGGAGTCTGCTTTGTGGGCCGAGTTGCTGTTCTGGTTTGGGTGTAACTGGCTTGCTCTGGGTGACCTGAGGGTCTCCTGCTGCATTAGGACGATCACCATCTCTCCCACCCCCTGCTGAATGAAGGAATGACGTGCGGGGAGGGGGGGGGGGCGGGGGGGGGAGGGGGCCCACCCATCTGGTTGGTAATCAGCCATTTATTCAAATCTCAGCATTATTTAAAGAGAAATCATGAAGGGTTGGGGGTAGCAATTACCCTTAGGTGTGATCAAACATTATCATAAACAATGAACAGATGCAAAGCCCTTCCTTGAGGGGAAGTTCTTACTCAAGGACAAAATGTCACTTAAGTGCTTAGGACTCTAGATTCCTGCTAGGAGACCCGCCCAAGGTGGAATTCCTTCCGAGGGCGGGCGTACTGCTTTCCCCTTTCCATAGCCAGAATCCATTTAAACAATCACCTTAAATTTACTTCTTAATATTTCTAGCCATGTTATATGGACACAGTAAGAGACACATTAGCTTAAAGAGTGGCTCTCCTGGGGACATCTCACTGTATGTCCCAGACCACAGTCCCCAGGCCAGGCTAGTCTTTCCTAACCCTAGCAGGGTCCTTATTCAGTGACTCTTTTTGGGTCATGACAGAGTTTGTTCCATGACTGTCCTCTTATTATACTTCTTCTGGTGCTTAGCCAGTCCCTTTTTGATGCCAGGGTAGCTTGCGGCTTGCCCTGGGTCCTTCCAAGTCCCTTGCCAGGACCCTCCTTGTGGGGTGTTAGGGAGGAAGGGCAACTGAGGCTTAAGTCACATAAATATGATGGATGCTCAGGGGTAAATATTATTCGGAGTCAATTAACTCCCATGTCATAAAAGCATAGCATTAACTATCTTCCTGTGTCTATACAACAAGGACATTGCTCTAAACCACGCAAAGGACATAAAGGAAAGAGAAAAGCAGGATTTCACTTACATGCACAAAATCCAGCGCCTACAGAAGATTTTGACTCTGTAAGTCACAGGGTCTGATTTGGGGATGTGTGTAAGCTCACACAAGAGGGGGCACGGCACCCACAGGGGCGGTGGCTCTATCTCTCCCGCCACCCACGTCCGGTAGTCTCACCCTTCTCCCACCCCGGAGAGGTCGATGGCGATGGTCAGGCAGAGGAAGGAACGAGGGCCAGGCTGGTAGGTATTAGTCGTAGTTTATTCTGATTCTCTCCTCATCTCTCCTTCTGTCTCTCCCCCATGCTACTTCATTCTCCTTCTCCATCCCCCTTCATCCTCCTCTTCCTTCTGATCCTCTCTGAACCTCTGCTTCTTCCTTCTGCCCCCAGCCCGCTCCTACAGTCTCGTTAAATCCTCTCTCCATGTGGAATTGGGGAAACAATTACACATAGGTGAGGTCACAATCAATAGGGGTAGAAATCTTGGCCTCAGGGAAGACCGCTCCTAGGACAGATCCTTCCTCAGCAGGAGGACCCACCCTAGAGCATAATCCCATGGGCGTGCCTCTCCTCTCCTTGTCCGACAAGCATTTAAGAATATAATATAAATCATTTTGCATGGATACAGTAAGAAATATCTTAAATTTATAGAATTGCTCTCCTAGGGCCATCTCGATCTCAGACTACGGTGCTCAGGCCAGATAGTCTTTCCCACCCCTAGCAGGATCCTAGTCTCGTCGTTACCTTTGGATCATGACAGCATTTGTCTATGATCAAACTCTTATAGTTAAGAATCGTGGCACTTTGGCCTGGCCCATTTCGCTGCCAGGGTAGCTCACTGCTTGCCCTGGATCCGTTCAGTCCCTCGTCGGGACCCTGCTTTGGGGTGTTAGGATCTAAGGGCAACTGAGGCTAAGTCGAGAAAGCAGATGCCCAGGAATAATATTCAAGGCCAATCAAATCCTAAGTTACAAAGCATAATGTTAATGGTCTTCCTGTATCTATACAAAAAGGATATTACTTTAAGGTAAACTGTTCATAAGGCATATGGAGAGGAGAAAGGCAATATTTCACTCATACATATAAAATCATAGATTTCTGGGAAACTGATCTTACAAATTAACAAAGTCTGATTAAGGGGAAAGCTGATTAACTGGGTGGGAAGGAGAGCATAGGGAAGACTGTTTACAGATAAACACAATGGAAGTGGAAGTGCTTCAGGAGCACTGTGATGGGTGTAACCAGATTGATGGGTGTAACCAGATAAAACCTAAGCTTCTTGTAGAGGGACAAAGCAATGTTACCCAACAGGGATGATTGTAATGAACAGAGAGGGGAAAATGAGCACAAAGGAGAGGTTAGAGATGAATACCTTTAAGGACTGGGAGTGCCTGATGGAATTGGGTGTGCCTCTGGAGCACTGTGGTGGGTGTAACTCAATAAACCTAAGTTCCCTGCAAGGGGGGCGGGAGGAGGGGAAGAAAGGAGAAACCAATGTTATTTCTTAAATCGCTTAGGACTGTAATCTAACAGATGGGACCTCACTGGCTGGTGGGAGGGGTTAGATTTGTGGGCGGGGCCTCACTGGTGGGCGGGATTAACTTTATGGGAGGGCCCTCATTCGATGGGAGGAGTCAGCTTTGTGGGAGGGGCCTGGATGGTGGGAGGAGTCTGCGGGAGGGGCCTGTGTGGTGGTGGGCGGAGACTGGGCGGGGCCTTGTGGCAGTGGGCGGAGACTCTGGGCGGGGCCTGGTTGGTGGTGGGCGGAGACTCTGGGTGGGGCCTGGGTGGTGGTGGGCGGAGACTCTGGGGGGGCCTGGGTGGTGGAAGGACTCTGGCTGAAGGGCTTTCTGGGGTGGCACGCGCAGGCCCTGCGGGCAGGGCACCAATCGGGCCTGGGGAGCTGCACCTCCCACAGCCGCCCAGAGCTCTGAGGAGTCAGCAAAGGCCCAGTGTCCGCCACCTGCAACCTGGGCAGCCGGGCCCAGGCCTCGTGAGGAGGTGCCATCCACAGGGGCAGGGGCCGGGGGCGGGAGGCATCGGGACCCCTCTGGGGCAAGGAAGGGTTCCTTTCTGGGTGAAGGTCAGCCTGCCCCACGGAGATGGCGGGGGCAGCTGGGCAGGCCCAAAAGGCCCCCAGCGTGCTGGGAGTGACCGTCCGCCAGGGGCCAGTTCCCCAGCAGGAGCTCCCGTGCCCCTGCCTTGTTCTCTGTCATCCACCCCCTTTCCCAGTGGCTGCTGCCACCCGCGGGATCCCCCTAGCTGGGACAGACCCCAGAGCCCGCCCTACGTGCTCTGTGGGGTGGGGTCAGCAGGATGCTGGCCATTTTCCAGCAGGCCCAGTTTGGGACCCTAAGGGAAGGTGTCTCTGGGTGCTGCCTCGGGCCTGGGGGGGGACCCAGCGGGGACAGGCTGGAATCCAGTGCCGCGTGCCACTCCCTCGGCTGCGGTCCCCTCCCCAGGTCCCCTGCTGTAGTAGAGTGTGCCGTTCCGAATCCCAGGCCAGGGACCCTCAGGGACATGAGCTGCACCCAGGCGGAGCCGGAGTTCAGGGAAACGGTTCTGCTGCGCCTGTCAGGGACCAGCTCTTGGGCTGGCCCTCGGGGGGCGCTATGAGCGCTCACCTGGGCACTAAAGTGGGTGCCCCGTTACCTACAAGCATGTCATCAGCCATGTCCTCCCCCTCCCCGATCTCCTGTTTCTGGCCCCCCCAACCCAAGTGCAGCCCCATCTGGGCTGGCTCCAGGAGCCTGCCTCATTGGGGCCTTTGCTCCCCTCCCCCCAGGAATCTGGTACAACATCCTCCGTGGCATCGGAAAGCTGGCCGTCATCATCAACGTGAGTGATAGCTGCGCTGGTGTGTCCAGGGACGGTCCTGGGTCCCATCCAGAGGAGGGGCTGTGGCACCGGGCAGAAGAACAGGAGCCCTGGGCTATTTCCTGAGCCCCAGGGAGGGAGGAGGAGAGAAAGACAGACAGACAGACAGGCTCTGGGAGCAGACAGACACTCAGCCAGCCTCTGGTGGGGTCCTGTGCCTTGTCAGAGGTCATCTGTCCCCTTCCTCTGAGGCACAGGCCGCTCATTACAGCAGGTTCGGCCGGAAGCTGAGCCATAGAGCGGCAGGGAGGGCACTTGCCTTGCACGCAGCGGACCCAGGTTCAATCCCCGGCACCCCATGTGGTCTCCTGAGCCCACCATGAGTAGTCCCTGAGCACAGAGTCAGGAATAATTTCTGAGTACAGCTTCGAAACTGATTATTAAAAATGAAAAGAGGCTTGGGGCCCCTTGTTTCAACAAGGGTCTCCCAAAATCTGTCAGCCTCCCCCAAAACCAGCCGCCCCCAGCACACACACACACACACACACATGTGCACTCACACATGCACACACACGTATGCACATGCACACACACATGTGCACACGCACACACACTATACACACACCATGCCGTGCTCACACACGCACATGCATGCACACATGCCCAGACACCACATGTGTGTGTTCATGTGTCCTCATGCCATGTACATGCTTACATGCCATGCACACATGCACAACTCCACACATGCATGTATAACTCACATGCACGCGTGGCTCTCACATTCCACGTGCCGGGGCTCGGCATCTGCCCAGGCCAGGTGCGTGGCACGCATGCGCACAGCACACCACCCTGGGCTGGGTAGGCTCTTGTCTTCCCTGCTGCCCTGTCCAGCGAGGACGCTGGGGTCCGGGTAGGCCGGGGCTCTGGAGGCCCACAGGACGGGCGCCATCCCCCTGCGCCACGCCCCTCCTTTCCTCCTTTGTGCTCAGTACCCTCCGTCCTGCTGCCCAGGTGGCCGGGGCGTGGCCCAGCGGCGGGAGGTGTGGCAGTCAGCTGGGTGCCGGGTCCCGGGGCGCGCTGTGGGGGCCGCACTCACCCCCTGTCCCCTCCAGGCCTTCGTCATCTCCTTCACGTCCGACTTCATCCCCCGCCTGGTGTACCTGTACATGTACAGCAAGAACGGGACCATGCGCGGTTTCGTCAACCACACCCTCTCCTCCTTCAACGTCAGCGACTTCCAGGCGGGCACGGCCCCCAACGACCCCCTGGAGCTGGGCTACGAGGTGCAGATCTGCAGGTACCGCTGGTCGCGCCCGCCGGAAACCCCAGTTCGGGCAGGATTCTCGGTCAGGGTGGGGGTGTCTCAGAGCTCAGCCTGGTTTCCAGAAAAAATGAGATGCCCCCTGGCACGTGGGAGGAGCCGTGTTCATTCCTGCCACTGAAAAGTGCGGGTGGGCTTCAGGCTGGGCTTGATCCAGGCTCCTTTGTTTGTCACCGGGCCCAGCTCACTGGGTCCTCTGGGGCTCAAGGATGGCTCGGCGATGGAGCACCCGCCTGGCGTGAGGCTGTGTTCCATCCTCCCAGCTGCCCAAGTGTGACCAGTCGCACCAAATTGGAAGTGTCCTGTGTTACGTGGGTCGCAGCGACCTGGCACAGCCTCAGGGTTTTGGAATCGAACTCACTCTCTGGGCAAGAGACCCCCAGGAAAGGTGTCCAGCCTCCACCAGGTCCCCCCGGGGAGGGGAGGTGCCCAGAAGTCAGGGGGAGCCGGGCTTCCTTCCTCCCCCAGCTGCCAGATTCCCCACCGCTGGTGGTTCCTGCGTCCAGTGTGACCCCCCACGGCTCCAGGCTCATCCTGCTCAGATCAAACCAAGTTTCGGTTCATTCTAGAAAGGAGGAAGGAGCATATGCGGGCACTGATCCAAAGGTTCCTCGGAGATTTGAATTGGGGGGGGGGGGTAGGCCCCAGGGTCCCGATACTCCCCAGCATCGAGTGGGGCTTCCTGCCCCCTGGGGCACTACCACGACAACATCAAGGTTGTTTTCTGCTGCCACTGTGGCAGGAGGCGGGTCACACCAGGCCCTCCCTGGGGTGCTCCCGGCTCCCAGCACCCAGCGCCGCTCAGGGCCAGTGGTGTGCCAGGTGGCCCTCGCCTGTGTCAAGAATATTGTACTCCCTGGTGCTCCTGCCCCTCAGAGAGCATGTCTGCCTTCCCGGGGGCACAGGCAGAAGCAAAGGGAAGGGGCCGTGCACGCATGCTCTCAGATGGAGGTGGGAACGGTCTCTGGGCATCTAGCCGTGGGCTTTGAGGGGTGCATAGGAGTTTGCCAGCTGGCTCATGGTCATTTCTCAGCATCCGGAAAGCTGAGCTGTGGGAAGGGACTGGTGCAGCCCAGCCTGATCCCATGTCTACCTTGGGGAGTCTCAGCCGGCTACCTCCTGGGTGCAGCACTGCCTGCCAAGGACCCTCGATCAGGACCCCTCATTGGTCCACACCCCCCTGGGGATTCAGGGAGCTGCTTGGAGGGTCTCTGGTAGGATGGAAGAAGCCCAGAGAGGGCAGCCCCGTGCCCAGGGGCACACAGCGAGGTGGGCCTGCTTCCGGGAGCAGAGTCTGCTCTTGGGGACCCCCAGGCCCCCAAAGGCCATGGCATGTGGGGACCGCCCCATCTCGGGTCTTACCTGGTGACAGGCTGGGCCCCCCAGGGGGGTCCTTGTGGGTAAGATGCCCCCTGAGAAGTCGGGGACCTCACAGCCCACCACAGCGGACCCACAGCCACCCCGAGGGACCTCGAGCGCCCGCGAGCACCTCACCCGCCTGTTGCAGGTACAAGGACTACCGGGAACCCCCGTGGTCGGAGCACAAGTACGACATCTCCAAGGACTTCTGGGCCGTGCTGGCCGCGCGCCTGGCCTTCGTCATTGTCTTCCAGGTGGGTGTGGCCTGTGGGAGGAGGGGCAGCGCGCGACCTCTCCAGCGTCCCAGGAGTCCCATCCGTGCTGTCTGCGGTGCCATACCCCCAGCCCTCGGAACCCCAGTCTATCACTGGCCGTGGCCCCCGGGCCCCCCGAGCACTGCTTGGGGGTCCCTAAAGGAAAAGTGAGAGATGTGTGTTTTCCCCAAAGCTTCTCCAGGAGCACCCGAAATCGCTCCTGGGCAGCAGCAGAGCGCCCCGGAGCCCCCAGGACTGCACCCAGGAAGGCTTGGGGTACTCCCCCGTGAGGGCTGCTCCCCAGCAACTCTCCCGAAGCCTCCTCGGGGAGCCTGGGCGCTCAGGTCGCCCGTACACCTCCCGGGCAGGGAGAGCAGGGTCTTTCAGAAAGTCGCCAACATGGCCAGGCCACGGCTGCCGGCTGCCAAAGGGTCACCCTGGCAGGGAGAGAGAGCCTGAAGCTGGGTGTGATGAGGGTGGCCTGGCCGCTTGCAGGAGCGCGTGATGGGGGACCGTGGGTGGCAGGGGCTGGCCGGGGCTGGCAGGGTACCCGGTGTATGGGCAGGTGCGTGTGTGTCTGTGTGGGGCCAGGTGGGGGCGTGGCAGGAGCCTGATGGGGCGGAGTGTGGGTGTGGCCCGGTTCTTGGGGGCAAGTTATCAGTGGGGGTGGGGCTAGTACATTTGGGGCGGGGGTGGAGCGAGCACATTGGAGGGTGGCCAGGTATACTAGGTGGGTTGGGCGTCTAGGGGGCATAGCCAGGTTGGTGGGCTGGGCTGGCACCTATGGGGGCGTCAGTGTGGGCGGGGCGAACAGCATTTGGGGCGGGGCGATCACATGGGAGGGGTGAGTACCTGTGGGGGCGTGGCCATGTGTGGTGGGCGGGGCTGGCACCTGGGGCAGGTCTGGTGTGGGGGCGTGGCCCTGTGTGGTTGGCGGGGCAAGTGCCTCGGGCGGGGCCGGTGGGGGCGGGGCCGGTGTGGTGGGCGGGGCCAGGTTGTTGGGCGGGGACGCCTTAGGGGCGTGGCCCTGTGTGGTGGGCGGGGCGGGTGTCTCTTGGGCGGGATGGGGAGGGCGTGTGGGCGGGGCCGCGTGTGAAGGGCGTGGCCTCGCTTGGTGGGCGGGGCCAGGTTGTTGGGCGGGGATGCCTTAGGGGCGTGGCCCTGTGTGGTGGGCGGGGCGGGTGCCTCTTGGGCGTGGCCTTGGGGCGGGGTGGGCTGTGGGCGGGGCCTCACGTGGTGGGCGGGGAGCCGCTTTAGGGGCGTGGCCAGCGTGGGGGCGGGGCGGCCGAGGTTCCCTGCTCAGTGGGGCCCGTTTGCAGAACCTGGTGATGTTCATGAGCGACTTCGTGGACTGGGTCATCCCCGACATCCCGAAGGACATCAGCCAGCAGGTGCACAAGGAGAAGGTGCTCATGGTGGAGCTGTTCATGCGGGAGGAGCAGGACAAGCAGCAGCTGCTGGACACGTGGATGGACAAGGGCCACGCCCAGGACACGCCCAGCAACAACCACGGCCCCGTGGCCCGTGCCCGCAGCCTGGGCCCCGAGGACCCTGGGGGCGCCCTGTAGGGCCCCCGCCCCTGACCAGCGGGCCTCCCGGGGCCGGGCCGTGGCTCCCGCCTGGCGGACCTCGAAGCCCACCTGACCCTTCCTGTGTCCCCCTCGTTTTTTTGCACACACCGCCCTGCCGGGGCTTCCTTTCTCCTTCGTCTTTAAGGGTCGCGCCGAGGTCATGAGGGGGTCGGGGCGAGGGAGAGCGGAACCCTGCGACCCCCCTCCAGTGCCGGAGGGCGGGATGGAGGCCCAGGGCAGTGAAGCCTTGGCCAGTCCGGGCAGCGGGGCCCTGCGACCCCCGGGGCCAGCCGCCTGCACAGCCGCCGGCCCTGGGCAGTCAGGGTATTTATTGGGTGGTTGTTCACTTTTTAATCATTTCTAGGGTGGTTTGGAGGCTTGAGGGATTTTTCTTTCCTGTACTCAAAGGTGGAAGGTGTTAGGTATCCAGCTATCATCGAAATTTAAAATACTGTTACTACCAAAGATTTTTATGAATAAAGGCTTCTATTTTGGTAACTCTTCTCTACATTTTTACTACAGGAAAGCTCGTGTTGTTCGATTCGCTTTTTCGCAGCTTGTAAGAGCAGGTTCCCTGGACGCCGCGCGTGCCAAGCTCGCAGCGGGAGGCCCAGTGACCGGGTGACGGCAGGGGCGACGGGGCGAAGCCCCCACCCCGGCCCCGGTCCCCGCGCTCGGCCTGCTCCCTGCTTCTCTTTTCTCTTGTACAGTACGTGGTTTGAAACGGGGTTTTGTATATCTTGTATTAAAAATTAGGTGATTATCCAAAAAGAATGAATCATTTTATGGAAACCTTTTTTTAAAAAGTGGCTGTACCCACATCCAAATAAACATTCCTCCAAATAAACGTGACTGTGCGGCGGAGCCTGTCTGCGTGACCTTCGCCCCGGGCTCTGCCCCAGGCCTGGGGGTGCGAGCGGGGGACCCTCAGACATCACCCACGACTCGCTGTCACTTCCCCCTACTCAGTGTCTGTGCCTGTGCCGTGCAGGGATGTACATGTATGTACTGTGCAGGAGCACTGTTGTGGGGAGCATTGCGGAGGTGGCAGTTGGTCGGGTGCCCATGCCGTGCGCATGTGTGTGCTGTGTGGGAGCACTGTGTGAGGAGCACTGGGGGCAGTTGTGCACGTGTCTTCCCAGCAGCCTCTCCCACTGCCCCAGATCGCACCCCCCACCCCTACTGCCCCAGATCCTTCCAGCCCAACCCAGGGTTTAGGATTTCGGGGGCCCTAAAATCTCTCCCCCCGCGCCCACCCCATCTCCTGGGGGTCCAGGGTGGAGGTGCTGGTGCCCTCATGGGAGCAGGGCCACTGTGAGCTTCCCTGCAGGAAGGACATGATGGGGGTCAGCACAGCTGGGGGGCCGCTGCCTGACACTGGACGACCAGGTTCGAGGCCAGCACCCTCCAGGAGTGAGCGTGGAGCCCAGAGCCGGAAGTAAGCCTTGAGCACCGATGGGTGCGGCCAAAAAAGAAAAGAAAAAAAGAAAGGAGGGCTGGAGAGATAGCACAGCGGGGAGGGCGTTTGCCTTGCACACGGCCAACCCGGGTTCGATTCCCAGCATCCCATATGGTCCCCTGAGCACCGCCAGGAGTAACTGCTGAGTGCAGAGCCAGGAGGAACCCCTGTGCAACACCGGGTGTGACCCAAAAAGAAAAAAAGAGGATCATGTGACCTGCCCAGAAGCACCCCCGCCCCCCTCCCCGGCCGGACCCGACGTCTGGCCGCGGGCCGAGCGCCCCCTCGCGGTGGGGTCCTGCAGCGAGCAAATGCAGCTTGGGGCCCCCAGCTCAGCCTGCACCTCCAGGCCCAGGACGCCCCTGGAGGGAGGGATCAGGCGTCGTTGCTGCGGGGTCCCGGGCTCCTGCACCCGGCAGAGTGGCCCCGGCTGTCGTGCACACGCAGCCGGGGGACCCCAGGCCTGGGGAGCAAAGCAGCCCCTGCCTTCCCTCCGGTGGGACTCTAGCCGGAGCTACAGGGGCAGATGATCGGTGGCTGGCTGGCCGGCTGGACAGATGGATAGATGAGTGGATGAATGGACTGGTGGACAGGTGGATGGATGGATGGACAGACGGATGGACAGATGAGTGAATGGATGGACGGATGCATGGATGGACTGATGGAGGATGGATGGATGGATGGATGGATGGACGGACGGACGGCAATGGAGGATGGATGGGTGGGTGGGGGTTGGGTAATGGGTGGGTGGGATCTACGTCCACCCTCTGCTCTCTCTCTGCCCTCCATGTCTTGGCCCCACCCACATACCCTGGTACAGAGGCACTCGGAGGAAGGCGCTTGTGATTGGGATGGACAGTTTCCAGAGGGGTCCTCACAAGCCAGTTTCCTGCCCCTCTCAGGGCTGAGAGGCCACACGCAGACACAGCACCCTGGACACACACTCACACTCAGAGGCACACAACACACACACACACAGCACACATCCACATGCTCACACCCAGACGTGCACCACACCTTCATTCAAGGACTCTAGCTTAGACACGCCCCGCACACACCCACACGCTCTCACACTCACACTCACAGACACACAGACACACTCCCTCCCTCTTCCTCTCTCCCCCCACCCCCCACCTGCTGGTCCCACTGGTTGGTGGCTGCTGCCCCCTGCTGGCCTCTGTGGGAGCTGCATAAGGGAGAAACCGGGGCTCCCCTCCCCAGCCCCGGACACACGCAGCAGCTCAGGGGCAGCGCAGGCTGTGCTGGCTTGGAGCCCCAGAGGGACCACCACGAAATTGGCGGCTTAAACCCACACAAATCGGGGCCAGGGAAATAGCAGCGGGTCACGTCCTTGCATGCGGGGCTCACCCCCTTTCAATCCCTAGCACCCCAGAGGGTCCCAGGCACACTGCATGACCAGGTCCAGGACGGGACCCGTCAGAGCTGCTCTGGGCCTCCCACCCAGCACTGCTTGGATGACCCCCTACCGCTGCCCCCAGTCCCCACCACCACAAAACAGGGCTCAGCACCCAGAGTTCGCTTTTCCTTGCGAGTGAGCACTGGGCAGGGAGAAGCAGCTGTGCGGGCCAATGGATTCCACGCCAGCCTCAGGCCAGCCGCTGTCCTTGGAGGTAAAGGCAGTTGGAACTCTGGAAAGCAGAGAGACCGAGGAACCAGTGAGAGTAATAATAAACCGGCAGGGGGCCGGGGCGATAGCACAGCGGGTAGGGCGTCTGCCTTGCATGCGGCTGACCTGGGTTCGATTCCCAGCATCCCATGTGGTCCCCCGAGCACCGCCGGGAGTAATCCCTGAGCATCGCTGGGTGTGACCCTAAAAGCAAAATAATAATAATAATAAACAAGTGGCAGGCTTGAGCACCAACACATTCACTGTCACCTTTGATGCAAATGTCTGTGTGGACCACCAGAAGGAGGTGCAGAGCAGACTCCATTCTTCTGGGTTTCCTTTTTGGAGGGAGCGCACCGGGGTGCGTGGGACCCCATCCTCAAACCCTCCAGGCTCGACGGCATGAAGCACATACTCAGTGTCCGTGAGAAATGAACCCACCCTCGCCCCTCTCCAGGCCGCTGACAAGATTAGAGGTGGGGCAGCGGGGAGGGGGCTGGCCTTGCACCCGACTCGGGGCTGATCCCCAGCAAACCCCTAAGTCCTCCGAGCACCACCAGGCGTGATCCCTGAGCGCAGAGCCGGGAGGAAGCCCTGAGCACGCCAGGCGTGGCCCCCAAACAAAAGCAAAACAAATCCAGCAACCAAAGCCGTTGGCAAGGAAGGCAGTAGGCGGAGGTGTGGCTGAGACGTTCCGAGAAGCAAGAGTGATAAGACCGCTGTCACACAGCCCAGGCTCCCGCGTGAAAATCAGTGCCAGCAGACACAGCACGAACCCCGAGGATGGAAGGGACGACCCCGGGGAGCTTGACCCATCCTAAAAGTGTGTTCCCCCACACAGAATGCCAGGGCCGGGCGCAGAGGGGAGCAGGCTATCACGGCTGGGCATCACAACGGAGGCCCCAAACAGACTGACATAGGAAAGGAGACTGTTGAAACGGAACCAACCAACGGGATGGGCCTGATAAGACACACAGAATCCCGCCCGCCCCCATCAGAACACGCTGCTGTGGATCATACGCCAAGACAGTCCACAGGTCTCGGGGAAACACATCCCAGCAAGCTGGAAGGGAATCGGGCCGCGTGAACGCCCTGCGTGCAGAGCCAGGCTGGAAATCGGGACCAGGGAAACCAAGGAGCCGGGACATCTCCCAGCCCCAGCCAGTCCCCCGCGTGGGTGTGAGGGTCTCAGTGTGAATGGGGGGGGTTGGGGGGGCACACGCACGCTCACTGCACAGCCCTGGCCATTACATGGCCGGCCAGGGTCAGTCACACAAGTGATTTGTTTTTTGTTTTTTTTTGTTTTTGTTTTTTGCTTTTTGGGTCACACCCGGCGATGCTCAAGGGTTATTCCTGGCTCTGCACTCAGGCCTGGCTCTGCACTCAGGAATCACTCCTGGCGGTGCTCAGGGGACCATATGGGATGCTGGGATTCGAACCTGGGTCGGCCTGCATGCAAGGCAAATGCCCTACCCGCTATGCTATCGCTCCAGCCCCCACGCAAGTGATTTGTATCTGCCTGGCTAGAGACTTATTTGGGCCCTTAATTGGGGGAGGAGGGATTTTCCGAGCAGTGTCCACGGGCCCCCGGGGCCACTTGGTTTCGTATGTGAGTCCCTAGGGCTGTGTCCAGGGCTTCCCCCTAGCAGCGCCCTATGTGATGTGGTGCTGGGGATCGAACCCGGGGTCGCCGCGTGCAGGACCAGCGCCCTCCGGGCTGTGCTCTGGCTCCTGCCTGGGTGTTTGATTTGGAAACGAGCAAGTTTATGTGTCTGTGACGCCCGCGTCGCCCTGTTTCCCACGTGCCCTTGCTGCCCCGGGATTGGCAGCCTTGGAGCGACCAAAAGGAGATAAGGGCGAGGCGGGGGAGGGGCAGGCGTTGAGCCCATAAGCAGGGGAGGGGCAGGCGTTTTTTGCCGTTTTGCCGGTTTGCCTGTT